TTACGCCAATTTCAAATCAGTTATGTTCGTCGAAATGAGCCAGCAGTCTCAAGCCAGTGCAAATTTCTAGCGTCTGGTTATTCCAGTCTACACACGCCGTTTGATTTGGTGCAATGTGTCTAGCCTCGTCCCTTGATACAACTGGGAATGAAGCGCAATATGGTACACGATTCGTTTACCAATGGTAAAATGTTTATTTTGTCTTAAATATTGGATATCAAAAGCCCATCTTTTTCCGGTAAGATCACAACATGAATGTTGATTTAATTTGACAAATAAATCGTGTTTTCAATGTTGGAGATTTTAGATGATATTGAGTTAGAGACTTAGCTACTTTAAGCATCTGCCTCCTGTCTTAAATGCCATCGAAAAATCTAAGATCTGGTAAGAACAGCCCTATTGTCCCAAAATATAAACTTAGCTCTTTTCGAGCTCGCTCATTTGATGTTGTTGCTGCCAATTTCTGGAACTGGGTACCTGAAAATCTAAAAAACCAGCCCATCATTAGACCCCTTTACATCCTGTTTGCATGGAAACATAATATACTTATTTGAGAAATATTTGCAGGAGTGATTGTGTGTTTATGTAACGCTATGTGCAAGACTATATGTGGAATTAGCGCGATGTAAATGGACTTATTATTATTACTATTATCCAGCTCTAACTTGCCCCAGACACCCGGACCCGACTTGTCTAGGCCCTCCAGCAAAGAACATGTCTCTGCCACCCAGCTTCAGCCATTCAGTTCTGACTTGACCCAGTCACATAACATTAGGTTGTTTTCGCCACACAGCTCCAGCTTGCCGCAACCATCCGATTCAAGTTTTTCGCAAAACCAAAGCTCCAGATTGTCTCCGTCAACCAGGTCCGTCTTGTCTCAAACACACAACTCCAGCATGTGTCTACAACTCAACTCCAGTTTGTCTCAGCCATGTGTATCTTTGCTCATAGTGGTTTGTCAGATTCAGAAGATGAACTACCAGATATACATCGAGATATACCCCTGTATTCTGTAACGTCAACGGTTAGTGAGCATTCCCCCACATGATTTCATTTAAAAATTAATGTAATGCAGCCTGTAATAAAAAAAAAAACACAAAAGAGCCATCTGTTTCAACTAGTAAAAATATACATAGGGAGAATAATTCGGGAAGAAACTAATCAGAAAAGGTCGTGTTTTTGGCTAGTTTTGTACCCTGCGTATGTTTTTCACGTTAACTTACAGGTCAAATCCAAAGGGTTTAAATTTGATTGACAAACCAATGAAAACAGTCGCCCGAATTGTTATCTACGTGTAGGATTGGTAAATGCGGACAATATATGTAAACATTTGTTATTTACATTAACATATTACAGATTCTATGCAATGGATTATAATCATTCAGTAACAAATATAATGTTTACTTAGCAGCCAACGAAACAAATTGCCAATAAAAGCAAAAACAGAAAAAAAAAGTTATATTATTGTACTACAGAATTATACAAATTATCCAAATTGAACTTAAAATATACCAGTAGACAGTTTCCTGGAGTTAGGTTGACATGAAATTCAAAATAGAAAGTAGTGATAAAAGAAATGAAATGAAATGAAATGGGGTTTAACGTCCTACTGTTCTGCTAGTGATAAAAGAACATAAATGGTTTATCAGTACTATCATTATAATATAAACCCTTTTTATTTCTAGAAAAGACAGTTTAGGGAAAGTTTAATCAGGGATGTATTCCCAAAGACAGGATGGGAATAAAAACGACGTCATTAATGTTGACCGAGAAGATGTCTTTATAGGCACAGACTTCAAACCAGAAACGGGGAATGGATAATGGGGCACCCAGTCGATAATTTTACCGTCTGGCACTACAAAAATTTCAAAATTTATATGACCACATTGAAACGTTTGTTATTCTCATTGTGTATGGATAAATGTCTTACAAGTACACCAGACCCTATAAACTGTTACTGATTGACAGATGTTTGTTACATCGTGCATGGGGCACCATCGCCCGCTTTTTTCTCCGAATTAATGTACAATTTAGTGACATATGGGTAGGGCCACAGTCCTGGTTACAAGCTGCAGTTAGTTGTGCAGCTATTAATGTACTCAAATATTTTAAAAACAATGTAGGTTTGTGTGTGGTGGTATGGGTATGGTGTGCATGGGGGGGGGGGCAGACATGAAATGCTACAATAAATTCCTGTCTTAATTACCGAAACGTGGAAGTTCTCCAATATAGCCTTTTATTTGAGTAATTTCCCACCTAAATTCCAGGTTTTGGAGTAGGGAGGCATAAATGAAATGACGAAATCATTATCCGGTCGCTAGCGAACGCAGAATGTGCAAGGCGCTATGTTGGGCATATCCGAGAAAATTTTGCCAATCATAAGACCACAATTCAATGTGTTACCGAAATTGCAAAACATCATCTATACTATTTGAGGAGTTATCAGCTGAGACAATTGTATATTTATCGTGAAGGTATTTAAGACTATCAGTAATAGTAGAATTAAATCAGAACCTGCATGAGCTATTTTAGACCTTTAGAGAAAAAATTCTTTCGTCAGTGACGAATGCCCATCTTTGTGGTAAATGAAAGACGACGACGAGCAGAATGTAGTAGCAATATCTTGAACATTGATGATATATAAAGGGCCAATACCGATAATAATTTGGAGGATAAAACTTCCTAATTTTGTATTAAAATCCTCTATCTCAGGGCCGAACAACTAACTCAATGTATGTGATATGTTTTCAAACCCGTCAGCCTGCATCTGGAAATGGAGTCCGGTGGCCAAAGCTGTATCATGTGGTGTCTGGAAAAATCAGACTTATTTCATAAAAAGAAAATGTGTAGTAGGAGGTTGTAACTGGAAAAAAAATGCTTGTTTGACTCCCATAAAGACACGTGTGGCAGTTGGAAATCAGTGCACCAACCAAGTAGTATTTGGCGACGGGTTGCAGCATGAGCTTCAAATTCTTCTTAAAGTCTAGGAAGGCAAACAAATTTATTATCTTTCCAAATTCCCATTCTCTTACACTTGACATTTGACAGTTGAAGTTATTTTCAGCCGCCGTAAGATTAGCACCTTTAAAGGGACACAGTAAATTATTCCTTACTGGATACGCAGGATCTCCATATAATGCCAAAGACTGACCATTTGAAGTTTTAAAATCTTTGGTTTCTAACTGCTCTAGTAATCTACTAAGTTTTAAAAGTGCAAAATCATGTCCCCTTCCCTCAACAGGTCCAAACATGTTTACAACGAGTCCATTAGGAGTGACTACCGACTGAAACTTGAGGGCATGGACGCGCTTGTGGCCATTGTAGCAGACTTTTTGATTCTCTCGTGGTCTACAGACAGCTCTGACAGTTCCATCAATAAAGCCAAATATATTGTCAAGTGGAGCCCTTTTCTCATGTATGGCAACCGAATACTCTCGTAGCTTTTCTTCCCCTAACCATGGTTGATCTAAAGAACTTAGTATTTGACCAAATTCATTATAAATGAAGTCGAGAGTTGTACTTATGATCAAAGAGAGGGTTGATTTCGGCCTTCCAAATAATTTCTCAAGGTCCACAAGCCTATTAGGATAGACCAAACGCCGTAGCAAAATGCATAAAGCATCAACTCCATTTACCCGTGCCCGGTTTACACAAAACATCTCATCCGGAATATGAAGACTTGTGGCAAGACGGTGAATTCCATTCCTATCAGATCTGAAATGACACCTAATCTGTTCGTCTGAGAGGTTATTTAGGTTAAATCTTGGCCAGTCTGGATAGTAAGTTGAATTGGAGACATGGCTGCCAATACCAAATAGGATGACATAGTTTGAAGTCTCTTCATCATCATTTTCCAAGGCTAACCTTAAAATTTCGTCAGCGTCCATGTTCTCGTGCCTATCGTCTGCTATTCTTAGTGTCGCCACCTACTAAGTGTAACTGTAAGTGTGAATTTAGCGAAACGTCATAATATACAGTTACACTTACACTTATCTAAATGTAAGTGTAAGCGTAACTGTTAAGCTGCGAAACCTCTCTATTGTTGTAAGAAAGAAATACCTTTATTATTTTTATAGGGTAAATAAGTAACGGCTGACTCGGGGTTGCACGGTTCAGGCCCTCAATCGTAAGTGGTATTATGTCACCAGTCATATGATGCGCCCAAATTTCAGCCACGGGGCACCCTTAGTGTAGTCAACAGAGATACAACTAGAAATGGTGAAAAGACATCCAATGAAAGACATCAATTGTGCATTAATACGTTTTCAAGTAATTATAATCGTGCTGATCTAACATGTTGTGTTGAGTATGTCGAGGTTATGTTATAACTCGCATGACCACCACTGGTAATGAATTTAAATATGATGAATCATCGAGTGGATTTAATGTATTGTTTAAACTTATCATAAAATACACATCCATTTAAGTGATATTTATTTGCCAACCAATTCGATTGATACTACGTTTATCAGATCTGTTCTTTATGACACTTTATTCTACAAATAATGTTTCTACTAGCGAATTAACTGATTGATTATGATAACGTTTACAATGGTGTCTCTGTAGAATTAATATTGATTCATTTGGTACCGAATAACAAAATCAGTTACGGATTGTTTTGGCTTAATGAAGAACTGATATATTCGATTTGTGAGTTTGACGGGTAAGTAATATATACTAATGTTATCTATTCCTTACACTCATCTATACACAATATTGACATATTTCTGCCATGAACGGTCGGTTCGGTGACAATCTTTGTTTTAAAAAAAAGTGGTGAAATTGTATGCTCGGAGATAATAACCGTATTGTTATTTATAATTTATAGATCACAAATCGGGATGTTATCTCGTTATTACGTTTCTATATTTAATGAATGTAAACTAGACACACAGGGGATTTCGCAGAGTGTATATGAAATAATCAATGAAATTATGTATAATGAAATTGTTTAATTAATTTCCTCATTTACGCTGTAACTTTGAAAGTTTGTCCTCAATGATTGTTCTCGGATAGAAGAAGACCTCAAGAAATATTATCGTGGAATATTAATAATTTTTGGTTGTTCACTATCTAAATTTAGAAGTTTTTCAACTGTGTGAATACGGCGTGGTGTTGCAGATAGCGCTTCTGAGAGTATAAGGAGGTCTGATGGTCATATTTTGTTATACAATGTTGCATATAATCGTGTAGCTTATTATTTACAGCAGTAATTTTAATTATATTTAGTGAAAGAACATAAAAACAAAACATGGATAATCGGATTTTGTTGGAAGCTCTTAATTGATAAAATTTTCCAGAAGTAAAAATGAAAGCGGTTTGGGAAGAATTTGCTGAGGAAACGACTTGCCATGGTTGGAAATACGTTGCCAATAAGTCGAGTTCTACATACAGCAGGTACGTGCTTTTGAATCAATCTTCACTGTGATCTACTCAATACAGGTGTGTCGTTTGTATAATTTTATCTATCTCCGTTAATCTTTTACTCTCTTAAATGCATATAAAAAACAGTAGGACGTTAAACCCCATTTCATTTCATTTCAATTGCCTATAAAAAATAATGCTTTGTCGGGGGCCGTTTGTCCCGACTTCTATCTTAAATCCAGTAGTTTAAGCGTCTAACTCTCACTCTGTTTATAAAAAATGAATGAAATGGGTTTTTATATCCTTCTATGCTGGACAAATGAAGACGGGAATTGTGCCCGGACAGATGCGTTTTAGCATATCTCTCTTCCAGTTTCAGCTACCAATGGTTATTGTATGTGCACGGGTATTTTATGTCCCATTAGAAACGATAAACAGCACTTGAAAATCCCGATGAACTTTCTCTGCTAACTTTAGCGGGATCGATCCTAGGACCTCCTGATTAGTCAGCCAGTGATCACGCATTCTTTGATGTATTCTGAATATTTCTTAACCATTTGATTGATGTCACTTGTCATTTGAGGAGTTCACATATTTACACTTTATGTTTACTTCGCTGATTCTGAAATTTTAAATTTAAAATCGCCTAAATTAAATAAAGAATCGGAATGAGATTAATTGATACTCTACATTATCCAAACTTAATGTCGGTACTTAATAATTTTTTCTTTCGATAATATCTAAAGTTAGACCCCGCATTCAGTCCCAACATTTGCACGTAGGCATAAGAATTTAAAGTTACAATTTCATATTTTCTAAGAAAGTCAAAACATAATTATTTCTATGTCTTTTGCTCAATAGGTTGTCAACTCACTATTATACGATCTCACACAATTACCTCCCTTGTTTTCCTATTCCCCACCATGGAATAGCTATCTGGAAAAACGTTTGAATTTGATGTTGAAAATGATATTTTTGCCAATTTCTCAACTGGCAATAGTGAATTATAGGATTAATAGAATTATTCTTTAACGAGGTAGGACTTTTATAGATACTATCTATTTTAGGGCTTTATTTTAATACATTTTAAAAATATAACTTAAAAATATGAAATTGTAACTTTAATAATCTGACATATCGACATGGAAATATTGTATAGTAATATCAATAAAGATTTCTTAAAATTAAATTGTTGATAAATCTTACAATCCCATATATTTTGAAACTTCTGTGGTGAGAAAAAACACAGACTATATGCGTTACGATAGGATTGTCCCTATTTCGTCCACGATCTGCTACATGCAGATACGTTCGGATACGTTTCGTTACGATTGCAACGGCTGACCTCAATATACTATTCAAAAAAAGTAGGGGATATTTGATTTTGGGGGCATAATACTAAAATATGCAAATGACTACGAAAAAAGTCACTATAGAACCTAACAGAAGAAACATTTCCAGTTACATGTGATGCTCAAACGCACCAATAGCTACCGCATGGAATGCAGGTGATGCTTGGGATCATCATGGGGGTCCTACCCAAGATTTGCACGACTCTGACTTTGAATGTTACAGTCATTGTGGCATTGAATTCCAGGGTGGAAACATCAGTTTAATTGTTTTAGTGACCAGAAAACAAATTTTGATATGCGTCGGCTTACCCAAAATGAAAGGTTACGTGCCCTTGGCATGCTACAGATCGGCACAACACAGGCGGTTGTGGCGCGGACGATGAATGTTTCTCAGTCTGTCATAAGCAGGCTATGGTCCAGATACCGTGATACACAATCTGTACAGGACAGACCACGCTCAGGTCGACCAAGGGCGACAACTCAAGCCCAGGATCGATTTATCCGTACCTTGGCCTTGAGAAATCGTGTCATCACAGCAAATCAGATCAGCGCTCGTCTTCAAACAGACACTGGTGTGAGAGTGAGTGGCCAGACGATTCGGAATCGACTGCATAGGGGTCACCTTCGCGCCCGACGTCCTCGCGTGATCCCTTGTTTGAGAGATCATCACATTCAGGCAAGACGTCGTTGGTGTAGGGATCGTCAACACTGGGATAATCGACGCTGGAGCAATGTGATGTTTTCAGATGAGTCAAGGTTCACTGTTGATTTTTTGGACAGACGTAGGAGGGTGTGGCGTCGTCGAAACGAGCGCTTCCAAGACGTTAACGTCATCAGACATGATCGATTTGGGGGTGGTTCTGTTATGGTGTGGGGAGGCATCACTGTTGCTGGAAGAACGGCTTTACATGTTGTTGCAGGGCGTGTTACAGGCCAGTACTACCGGGACAACATCTTGGCAGTCCATGTTGTGCCGTTCGCACGACGTCATGGCCGCCGTTTCATCTTCCAGGATGACAACGCAAGATGTCACAGGGCCAGGATCGTTACAGGTTACCTCCAACAACAGAACATCACCACATTACCTTGGCCAGCACTGAGTCCTGACCTCTCCCCCCATCGAGCATGTCTGGGACATGCTTGGACAGAGGTTACGTCAACGTCAACAACGTCCTGCCAATGTCCAGGAACTTGCTGCTGCGTTGCAACAGGAATGGGACAATCTGGACCAAAATGACCTTAGACGTCTCATTAGGAGTATGCCACGTCGGATCAATGCTTGTTTGGCAAACAGAGGAGGATTTACCCGTTACTGACTTGGTTGTGATGCTGTGGTAACTTTGCTGTTTGACCCCGGGTATCATTTTACCCTTATAATGGTCAGTCTGTGCCTTACTTAGTCTAACGATCATTTGGAATAAATCGATGAATGTGAACTTCATTTCATTTTGTCATTTGTTTCTTCGTCAGTTTCATTAGGTGACTTTAATAACACTTAAAAATCAAATATCCCCTACTTTTTTTGAATAGTATATGATAAGACCTGAAAGCAGGCCCGTAACGCAAGAAGTTTCGCCCCCTCTGTGAAAAAAATTTTCGACCATAAAAAAATAGATATACATTAACATGTTGATGTGGTTGTATGTACATGTATTTGTCACTCGGTCGTCTCGTCCGTTTGGTCACACAAATATAAGGTGGTCGTTTTGTTTAGCTCATTCAAGGAAGACGATATTACTGATGTATAAAACACTGTTAACACTCTGCTCTGTAAGTCTGAATTATACAATTTTAATATAGTGTTCCACCCGATTAGATTTTATTACATACTTCGAGAAGGTATTTGTTGAGTAATAAAACCTTCTAGTAGTTTATCGAGGGCTGGCCGTCCTTACCGCACGGTACAAATAAAACCTTCTAGTAGTTTATCGAGGTTCGGGTGCTACCGGAGTCCAAAATGGCCGCTTTATATAAATGAGAATTTTGGGGATAACTAACCCGAACCCTAACCCTTTTTAAAAGACTGAACTTGGGTCTAATTTAGTTTTTACTTCTCTTAAAAGGGTTAGGTTTAAGAATTTGGGGTTAAGGTTTAGGTTTAGAAATTTGGGGGAGAGGTTAAGTCTCCACATAAGCACTGACCTAGGATGATGAAAAATTAGTTCGTGATATTTCCTAGTTTTATTAAAAATACATACAATACATTAGATTTATATACAAAGGCGATTTCACTGTTTATTGGTGTTGGTGGCGCTGATGGTCTTCCTTGGATGATGCTTCTGGTATTCTGGTATTATTGTTTCTGAAGAAAAAAGAAAATAAATTTGAGGCTCTCGGGAGAGAGCCACATTAGTGTGTTTCTTACTACGGATTGGATTTTCTAAAAAATCGTGTTTGTTCCACGTCACCGGGTTCTTATATCTAATTTTATTTACTAACGGTTAGGGATAGGATTTGATATATGGTTTGTTTTGGGTCAGGGTGGAGACTGGTCTTATTTAATCTAATTTACTGTGCACTAGGATGTCGTTCAGATTTTTATTTTCAGAATATACAATTATAAGTTTCTGTGTGAATATATTCGGGTGATTTTCTTGGAGATCAGTATAGTGTTTTCTGATGATTTTGGATGCACTTGCTGCTGTTGCGCTAAATGGGACTACAAAAGGAGCTATTGCGCTAGCCGTATGAATATTCAAACCTAGGGGGCTGTTGTTTTCAATTTGTCAATCCAGAATTTTTCTCTAGTTAGCCTAAACGTTTTAATTTCTTCTGAAGTTTCAAAGTCGCTCTTTGTCTTTTCTATTGGCGTGACAATGAGATCAGAAATGTCATGATTCGGTTGGTTGAAATGAATTTAGACAGGTTTGTCTTTTTTGGTGACTATGTCTGACCGGTGACCGTTAATTCTTTCCCTAAGTGAATTTTGAGTCTCCCCTACGTATTGCTTGTCACATTTTCTGCATGAAATTAGATAAATTATGTTTGAACTACTGCATGAAAGTTGGTCTAATATTGGGAATTTTGTGCCAGATGTTTTGTTATGGAAATGGTCGGATATGTTTAAGATTTTGCATGTTTGACATCTTGGATGGCCACAAGTTTTGGTTTTATGTGCTGATTGTATATTATTTGTTTCTTTGGCGGCAAGCTCAGCGAGAGTGTTGTTTTTTATACGTCGTAGATAGCGTTTGGAGTATCCCCTTTCCCTTAGTTTGCTAAATACCAATGTACATGCTGACTCAAAGTCGGTCTTCTGAGTACATATCCTATGAAAACGGAGAATCTGAGATTTTATGATGCCAGAGAATGTATGTTTTGGGTGAAAGGAGCTTTTGAACAATAATTGATGTGTGTCGGTTTCTTTGAAAAATACTTTAGTTTCCAAATGGCCTGTGATTTTGGTGTTGCTACTTTTAAACACGGTAGTATCAAGGAAATCTATGCTGTTATGGCTTACATTTGCGGTTAATTTGACAGATGGATGATGATTGTTCAGAATGTTGAAAATCGTCCAAAATTCGTCTAGTGTGTACGTCCAGACTATGAAAACGTCATCTAAAAACCGCCTATAGAAATCTGGTTTTAATGGACAGTGGCAGAACTTCCCTTTCCCACTCCGCCATGAAGAGATTTGCATAACTCGGGGCAAATCGTTTTCCCATCGCAGTTCCGGAAGACTGAAGGTATACAAATACTCATTTGTATAAAGCGGCCATTTTGGTATGAGTTCTGGCTTGTTCTGGAATTTACTGCTTCTAGTGGTGATAATATTTGTACCGTGCGGTAAGGACGGCCAGCCCTCGATAAACTACTAGAAGGTTTCATTACTCAACAAACAGCTTCTCGAAGTATGTAATAAAATCTAATCGGGTGAGTGTTCAGTTCATTGATACGAAGATGCCCGGGTTACTCTCCTTGGTTTACGAAACTTTTAAACAAATCAAATGGTCGAAGTTAGCACTGATAATGACTTAACTAGTAACTCCTACTGATTTACGACACGATGTTATCATTTATGATCAGTCTATTTCCCGTTCATGAGAATCACGTTTATTTTCTATTGTTGTAACAAACTGTCCAGTCACGTCTTTGTGCTGTTTCTCTTGGCCTAACATTCATAAATGTAATTATTTTTCAGATTATTATGGGCTGTGGTTGTGTTCAGTCTGATCGGTGGTTTGGTTTATACTTTAGTAACAAGTTATATCGCTTACACAAAACACAAAATTTTAACTGTTACACGGACAGAAAAAAGGAACCAATTAAATTTCCCTGCTGTTACAATATGTAATAAAGGCACATATGATAATAGCTCTGGCCAGATCTCACAGGCCGAGGCGAACTTTTTTCTTCGGTATTCCGAGCTTTACAATCCGGCTACATTCAATTTCAATATAAGTGAACCGATTTTGAATTCTTCGATAGCGGCCTTTCAGGCTAAATCTTCATTTGACTGGTCAGCGATTATACATTGGGTAAACTTTCATTATCAGTTTTTGAATCACACTGGCACAGAAAGATTCGAGTTTCAGGAAAGCGGTAGTTTAGGACGATGTATGGTTATTCACGGCCCGAAATATTTCAAGAAATTCGGGGATCCTGTTGTACAGAGCGTAGGAAGAAAAAGCGGATTACAGTTACTTTTAAGCACTTTACAAGATGGCTATATTGTTAATAATCAAGGAGATGCTGGATTTGAGGTGAGGGGTGTTCTCTATTCAATGGATGTATTCAGTTTGGTTGAAATTCACATATTCAACTTGGATTGGTGGGAGGGGAGTCCTGATGTTAACGCGGCATAATATTGATTTAATTTGTCAAAGAAATTATAGTTGACGATTAATTTGAAGATACCTGGTATCGCTCCCTTTGCGGTTCACAAAAAAAAGTTATAAATTTTTACACCCGCTAATCGGCTTGTTATCGTAAACTGCGTCCAATTTTACACAATGGATAGAATATAAAAAAGTTTTGGAGATTGATAATCTATTTGGTGAGATTAAGTTGAAACGTGTCATTAGAGTTTGAAACACCGTTGATGGATGAAGTCAAACGTTGTTGTTTAACGGTGTTGTGGGAGTTAAAAATTTCGGTTTGTACCAGGGATGCCGACAGACTGTTAATCCGTTAATTAATCATAAATCTATACTCTATTTCAAACTTGTCACTCAGGTATAGTGGAGGACTGTTCAGCCGAGTTCAGCGTTAATGAGCTTGATCCTTATTAATAAAGCTTAATAATTAATGACAGTCTGAACACATGAATTCGGTTCACCATATTATTATAAATGGATGGTCTGTGTGGAAATTATATTTATTTCAAAATGGCAAACGCTCAGGTTTACATTCGCTAATAAAAGCTATATTTGCAACAACCAATGCAGTTTTCTGCTTTAAGTAAGAAATGTACTATATCTTATAATAACAAGCGCAGCTTGGGATCCCCACCTACAGAATGATATCAAAAGAATCGATATGGTCCAACGTCGTCATCATCTACACACAAACAGACATAATAAGTCTTTTAGCATGGATTCCGCTGGACATCAGACGAAAACAAGCAAGGCTGATTATGCTTTATAAGATCCACAGAGATTCCATCCTCCGACACTCTTCAAGTCCAGGGTGTCTCGGGCTATGTGAGCTTCGACACCACGTCAATTTTATACGCCCACATTTTCATGTGGGCGTATATTGTCGTCGCCCCTGTCCGTCCGTCCACAATTGTTTGTGAACAGTCTACAGGTCATAATTTTTATCCGATTTCAATGAAACTTGAAATATAGGTTTATCATCATAAGATTTCGGTTCCTTTCGATATTGGCATATATCGGACTGTAACTTCATGGATTATGGCCCCTGGTTGTACGAAAAATCACGTTTTTAGCGTAAAAATATGGTATATCAAGGTTGTGGACCCTATAGAGGTCACAATTGTTATCCGATTTTGTTGAAACTTGAAATGTAAGTTTGTAACCCAAAGATCTCGGTTCCTTTCGATATTTGCGCATATCGGAACGTAACTTCCTGAATTATGGCCGCTGATTGTACGAAAAATCGCGATTTTAGCTTGTGGAGCTCATAGAGGTCATAATTTTTATCCGATTTAAAAAAAAAACGTATTTATTTATTATATCACCGTTAGACAAGGACGACTGAGTTCGAATTTCGTGAAAATCGGCCCAAAACTGACAGACAAAATGGCCGGCCTTCGTTCTCAAATAGCGTAAAAATATGGTATATCAAGGTTGTGGACACTATAGAGGTCACAATTTTTATCCGATTTTGTTGAAACTTGAAATGTAAGTTTATAACCCAAAGATCTCGGTTCCTGTCGATATTCGCGCATGTCGGACCGTAACTTCCTGAATTATGGCCCCTGATTGTACGAAAAATCACTTTCTTTTTTGCTTGTTCTCTATTCATCTCTTGAAAATGTGGGCGTATCCTGCCTGGCAGCCGCTGGTTATCCTATTTTAACCCTTCATCCCGTTTTTAACCTTTCATCCAGTTTTTAACTCTTCACCGTCATGCCGGCCATGCGCAACCCACGCCGTGTCAAAATTATCAAACATGATTGTGGACACTACCAAGTAGAAGTAGAAACACCATTTTCTTGGATTAAATTTGGATTAGCGGCAAATTACCATTCGTAAGGCGGTAGCAAGCACACCATACAAAAGTCGACTCGAAAATACGAAATTAGCGCTCCTTGTTTTGTTGTAACATTTTATTTTTCTGAAGTAGAGTTGCCCGCAGGCTCAATTATCTGTACTATATAAACTGACCTGTTTTAACAGCATGTTGTCAGGCGGATAAAAACTTCGATTATGAGAAAAGTGCTCTCACGGGCTCGCTCGTGCACTGTAAGCAGCAAACAGTCGCCCAAAATAGACATTCACGTGACAATATTCATTCACTTATTTATCAATGAAGCCATGTAAAAACATTATTCTTTACTCGTTGGACTTTTAAAAATAAGTAGTTAAGAACTAGATTAAAATTTTGGCTAAAACTGGGCGATTTAATTTCTAAGTTAGTTGATTGTAACCAATGACGTATATATTGTAACGGTTCTCGGTTCAGAGTCAACACATGTAGTTTTACACTTTTTCTATCTTTTAAATCCACTCTCGTGGCAACATACCGACACTGCAAGACTGTGAAAGTTACTTTTATTTAACCGTAAAACATTGTTGCTAGCTCTAAATACGCAGAAAAAATTTGAGACTGGAAATTAATTGAACGAAATTATTTTCCCTAGTCTCGATTAACCAGACGTGTATGGTTAAAATAAGGGTGAGAGGGAGAAATGGGGTTTAACGTCCACTCGACACAAACTAGGTCATTTCGGGACTAACACATGGTTTAATTTTATTTCAATAATTCGCTTGCGCATAGGGGTCTTTAGCAGTGGGAGGAAACCGGAAGACCCGGAGAAAACCCACGAGGTTGGACAGGCGACCCTACTCCTTGCCACGTACAACCGGGGATTCGAAACCACGCTAGTTGACTCAATGACAGACTTTATGGTACAGCGCGCACGTGCTAACCATTCAGCCATCCACCCCCCCCCTGATTAAAATAAAATTACGGTACTGGTCACAAGACTCGGATTCTAATCATTTTAGGGCGCTGCGAATTTGGCCTCCGGTTTTGTGCCAAATTTAATAGGTGGATGTGCCATTATGGCTATGCCATTCGTGTTTAGTATCCTTATGCATTTGCCATTTCTAACATGGTGGTTACAAAACGTTTCAGTTATTATAAATCCAGCAACAACTCATTTTTCTAGAACTGAAATATAACCAAAAAGACGCGCATTGACTGTTTCATAATTATTAAAAATATGAAAACGCGACACGATGCGTAAATTGTGCGTCTTACTTTCGAGAACAATAGCTATAAAACAGAAATTTACAGATTGATACATGTACATAATACGACACAACCAACCATAAGTGGTAATTCAAACACAAAGGATATATTTAAACTGAAATTTATCTAACATTTCACTAAAAGATCCCTATTGTAGAACTCCCAACTTATTATGTAGTCATTGTCATGCCGGGTTTTTTTAATAACAGAATTTTCCAGTCATATAACAGATCAAAGAATTTTTCGAGACGCATAATTGTCACGTATCGACTTCTATTTTTGGATTATCTGGCGCCACAAATAGCCCAATCATATCAAAAAGCATGCAGTTCCACCTTGAAATGGGTTCAATTGATTTACGGTTTATTCTATAATTTATAACACAATTTAGAGCACAAAGTGGAGGAGTCGCATTTTTGACTTCTAAGTAGATTCTTATACGGAATTCCGGATGCAATGCTAGACATTTGGACCACTGCTGCCGAACCGATTTGAAAATGCTTAAGGCTTTTTTTCTTTGCGCATGTCGTGTGCTCTTCTGTTTTTGATGTGTATGATTTTTATATTGTGATAATTATTGAAACAAAATAGGATTATCATAAAGGATATTTAACATCTACAATATGAGTACGGTAAGCACTCTCTACAAACTGTGTTTGTAAACCACGAAATTCACCCCTTATTAGAAAGTTTTAACTATAGTCTATTGCATGTAAACGTTAAAAAAATCAGCTCAAAATACAGACCGACCTCTCTCTCTCTCTAAGGGCTGCGCATGCGTACAAATGTTAAATTCAATCGTTAATTGTACGTATGTAAAAAAACGAAGAAAGCCGACTGCGGAAATTAAGAATTCGTTTTCCAGATCAAAATTTGAAACTTTGATGTGACCAAGAAACATAACTCTTTTTAATGAAAAAAATCTACCGCTGTAACGCTACTTGGGCGATCAAATTTTCCATATAATTAGAAAGTCCCATTCAAATGGCCAATTCACACAAATATCCAACTTAGCAATAGTTTAATTGTTAATGAATGATGATTTTAATGGTAAGTCTTATCATATTTGTTAAAATAAGCCCCAAATATAGCTCGTTTATTGGATTTTTGTTATTTGCACAAACCACTCTATCTGAAGTCAAGATAAGTCCAGTACTGATATTTCCCATTTCAGGTTTTCATTCACGAATCACACACACCAGCACCTTTGAACAGTGGTGGGGGAATACCCGTATCCCCTGGCTTCAATACACATATTGCAATGAAGCCTGTGGAGGTAGGTTGAATTAATGAGTTACCAGATTTGATTTACAAAATGCCCGCCAGGTAAGGGTTGAGATGGGGTTTTGCCAGTATGAATAAAATTAATAATTTGTTTTTTTTTACACTGGAATTTAATTTTTTTTTGTTACCAACGCCGAGGTCAGCAAATAAAAGTCCTATTTACACCAGCCAGCTATATACATACACCAGCTAGAGTCAGTCGTATGTAATTCTTTTAAACAAGCTTAATGTAAGAACCAAATATGCCTCCTGCGGGTCTTTTTTTTTGCTCCAAGTGTCATAAAAACTATTATCTAAACATGTATTCACATGCCAGGTCTATAATCGACACTCTCTTGAACATCGGATGGCAGAGATTTAAACGGATTAAAACACGATCGCCATTTAATGGCGGGGTGGGTGGGGCGGCCGAATGGTTAGCACATGCGCAGTATCATAAGGTCTGTTATTGAGTCAACTGGCGTGGTTTCGATTCCCCGCCTGTCCCAACCTCGTGGGTTTTCTCCCGGTCCTCCGGTTTTCTGCCACTGCTAAAGAACCGTGCGCACAAGGTCATTATTGAAATAAAATTGAACCATATGTCAGTCCCGAAATGACCTAATCTGTGTCGAGTGGACGTTAAATCTCATTTCCCTCCCTCCCTGCCATTTAATGGTTTATTTTAAAAATGATAAATCAGGGCGTAGTCTCAATTAACAAGTACCGTTGGTACGATAAAAACAATAGATGTCACATAGTGTCAAAACTTCAAACAGTGAAAACTACACCAAGAAAAACAAAACTTGACAGAAATGTTCAATATATTCATTTTTCTATTGTTGAGTTATTATAGTAAGAACGGTCAGCTCTTTAGTTAAGTCTTACATAATGCATATTCAATTCCAAAATACAACAAAGCTCTACTTACCAGTACAAACCATTTGATTGGGAAATAAGATCAGGTGATATTTTTTTAAAAAACAATATGCCAATTAAGAACATAAATGACCTGACCTTATTTTGGTGTATTTTAATCATTTTCGCAAAGGTGGTCTGCGTAGGGACGATATCGCAGACAGGTATTTCCTGAGCATGTTGCGCGAGAAAACAAATAAGATACATGTAGTCTCTCCCAGGGAAGTCTTCGTGACCATTAAGGTTCCTTCCAAAGGTGTTGCTCCCGGTATAAGACTTACAAGTATATCCCCTGAGGGCCATGATCTCGACGAGGCTGGATTCATATTGAGGGTCTAACTGAACTGATAATTCATACGCCATACAGTATGTTATGGGGGACATTTCGCCCAGACAGCGGCACTACGGCCTACTCTTATTTCGAATTCCAACTGTCAATATGTACACGGGATCTCTAGACTAGACACTGTTTCTTGCCAGGCACTAAGTCATGTACCATCGACACGGAAAACCACACCGGATAATTCAGGGGGAACTTCTCGGTCAACACCGGACCCGAACTTTTGGCCTGGTTAACGAGCCACTTTCTTACTCACTGAGCCACCGCGGCTCCCAAACCAGAATAGAAAACCGCGTCAAAAAAGTCGCCGCATAAGTAACTGAAATGCTATGTTTTTGTGTGTTTCTCTTCAGTATAAGTTTCTACCCAAGCCTTACAGATCATATGGTGATGTATTTTGTGAAGAGACTAGTCCGGGCTACAGCCACACTGCATGCGTGGATGAGTGTATTCAAAATATGACTGTCGATACATGTGGTTGTAAGACCATGCTAGAATATGGTATGTAGACCACGCATTGTCACCTGTGATATGGTGTCCATTCACGAAATATATCGGAAAAGGTCCCAGATTTCCCAGGAAATTACAAATAAATCTGCTGTCGAATGATGAATGTAACGCAATAGTCTATTTACCCTGTTAGAAAGTTTTAAATGAAAATATTGAGTTCTTCTAGTATGATCGCTAGATTTGTTTAACCTAGTCGGGTAACTGATTTAAGGCTGCTATTACACAGGGGTATTCGGTAAATACGTTTAGAGGTATACGCGAATACTTGTGTTCGAACAACAGAAATTTGCTTAGCGGTTTACATCGGACGATACGCGTATAGGGGCACGCTATACGCGTATACATGGTATCGTGCATGTTCGTTTTCTTTTCGGCGTATACTTGCTTCAGGGAGGAGTAAATTCCATGGGATGTGTAGAAAATGGGGCATTTGTGTTGTAGAAAGTTCGAATCAAACGTTCTGAACATTGATGGACATATCTCTAATCTCTAGGCATGGTAGACTCTTCTAGATTATCATGAACAGTGATTTCCAGTTATTCCCCCCCCCCCCAATATTGGAATGAGCCGACTCAAAGCCTGACCTTCACTCCACCATAATTTACGCCTCCGCAAGTAAAAACCAGGTCAGAGTTTCCTCTTCTTCTGTATCCATTATGTTTGGATATGAATGAGCCTCGATGAGGGTACCAAAATCGGTTGGGAAAATAACTGACCAGGCCAATATACCTACGTATAGTATATGCCGTGTAAACCGCCGTGCCCGTTTACCTTATACCGAATACCGTATATCGTATGTCTGCATGGCCACAGTTAATGATAAATCTTTGTGAACGTGATGCACGACAGAATTAAGAATGACATAGAACACGCGCAGTTCGATTTACAGAAATTAATTTTAGAATTAGCAAGAGCGACTTTTCCAAAACATTAATCCATATAATCAATATATTGTCAGCTATCCTGTCCACGTTAAGAGACAGACAGGCCCATTTTGAAATGAATGCAAGCTGACTAGGGCCATATTTATGGCTGACTGGGATCATGTGATTTTTTTTAGACATTTCACTAATTAAGGGATTGATCTATTCTCTGAGCTTTGTTCATACATTTCAATAGCTCATCCAAACAGATTCATGGACCCAATTTCAAAACAAATATCAGCAGTTCTAGTAGCATAATGGAAAATATATAATATTATAGACTAATAATCGTAGAAAAGCAATTACACTATTTGGCTTACCAGGTAGCATTATAGGAAATTTGCTATGGTATTTGTTAAGCCATAATTAAGCCATAAGTCTTGATCAGGTACATATCTATTAAATTACTGCTGTGTGCCAGAGCCTGAAATCGGTCTTATTAGGTTAAGACTATCACGATTCGCGCTACGATTGAAATCGGGGCTTTATTCGTGGAGCAATCGTGGTGATTCTATAAGGTCTTATGATACATTGAGTTCAGTCGTTGCAATCGTGTTGATCGTATCAAAAAGAATCCGAACGTATCTGCACGTACCAGATCGTGGACACAACAGGGACCATCCTATCGTAAAGCATCGCACGACAATGGGAACCAATCATAAATGTTTGATTTGTGTGAAAATGCTATCGTGACAGTAACTACGACCTTACTGTCTGTTGGCATAATAACCGGCCTGGCAGGAATGATCCGGGTTGGAGTCTCAGTGTAATTGGAAAGAACCCCCTAGGATACCCAATTGTGACAGAACACATTCGATACAACTTACATCTTGAATTATCCTCTTAAGTCATCAATTAATACAAGTAATGGATTGAATGTTTTGTTTCATGTTACAGATACACACCCTTCAGTGAAAAACTGTACATTTAAAGAAACATATGATTGTTATCTTCAAATAATAAGTAAGTATTTTCGTTGGGAATTCTTTGTTTTGTAATTGAGTTGTAAGAAGTTAATTTCCACATGCTAAGGGGTGGTTACAATATTAAAAGGTGTATGTTATTTTTGTCATTATTGTAGTTGCGAATTACATTGCTGCAGAAGCTGGGGATATATGTAACTGTCCGAGACCGTGTAGATTTATAAAATATGAAATACAGACTTCACAATCATCATATCCGTCAAAAGCCACTCACCAATACCTTAGAGACGTATTAAATGTCAACACTACATTAGATGATTTGAGGTATGCTGGGTAAATACGAGGATATTTTCGGAGTGGGGTTTGGTTGCCGAATGGTCTAACATGTGAGCTTTAGATCGTAAGGCCTGTTAATGAATCAAATGGTTGGGTTTCGATTCCCCGATCGTATGTAACAATGTTTCTCCAAATCCTCTGACTTCTTTCCTAGAAAGACACCTACGAACAAGCGAATAATTGCAATAAAATTGAATCGCATGTTAGTCCCGTAATGACACAGTTTGTGTCGACTGGACGTTAAAACCCATTTCTGTCTTTCCTTCTAAAGAACTTTCAGCGAATAAAACGTTTAAAAATATTAATTATAAAGCACAACCCATCCCTTAAAAATACTACTCGCCAACAGCCACATGTATTACTTGATTTACTATATATGAGTGTATTAATTAGTATCGTGATGCTTACTTTTCATGGAACATCTGATACCATTTCGTATTTGAGGAGTGTATTTGTTGTACTAAGTAATGGCGAAGAACAATGACAAGATTACAACTGATAAGCACAAAACACCGGAGTGATCTTAACTGGCATGTTTTCAGAACGTAGAGAGCACTATTTTGTATTTTGCACCATCTTCAATAGAAGGCTTGATCTCGCTTTAAATCGGTACACCTTATCTATGCCTTCACGTAATACCCTGAATATTTCGGCATTAATTTCGATTGGGTATTGATCCAGCATATTTCGGCATTAATTTCGATTGGGTACTGACACAGCGTGGGAGCCTATCGGATTCCTCGATCATCGTTAATACCAAGTCTCGAGTTGCAAATTTCAAGGTTAGTTCAATGTCAAGGTTTCCGCTAAGGTCGCCATGTTTGGTTTATGTGTGTTTGTGTCTCAACCTCTGATTGGACGCTACTGTGGTACGCGGGTCTGTGGTAAAGGCAGATAGCGTAGCTATAAGTTCGGGAATTGCAAAGCATGTAGCAACATCTATTGTAAAACTCGCGGTCGTTGCTTCAGGAACATGATTTTCTAGAAACTTCCTTCGGATTTCAGTGATCCAGGACGAAGGACCTGACACGCAACGGTCGTATAGTCGTTTGTACGGGACGAAAATCGAGGTCCATTTACTCATTGGTGTGCACGTAAAGGAACCCTTGACATTTGTAATTTGAAGTAATCATAGCACAGTACAAGACGTATACCTGTACAAGACGTATGCGTATGAAGCACTGTTGGGAACATAAAAGTATGACTTGAAATTCCATTTAATTTCATTAACTATAGACAATATAATCTTATTTATTTTTTTATTATTGGGGGGGTTGGATGGCTGAATGGTTAGCGTGCGCGCGCTGTATCATAAAGTCTGTCATTGAGTCGACTGGCGTGGTTTCGAATCCCCGGTTGTACGTGACAAGGAGTAGGGTCGCCTGTCCAATCTCGTGGGTTTTCTCCGGGTCCTCCGGTTTCCTCCCACTGCTAAAGACCCCTACGCGCAAGCGAACTATGTAAATAAAATTAAACCATATGTTAGTCCCGAAATGACCTAGTTTGTGTCGAGTGGACGTTAAACCCCATTTCTCTCTCTCTTTTTTATTATTTCTTTAATTCTTTCAATATTTAGCTCTACAAATATAATTTTATGCTTATTTTTCCAGAAATGATTTAGTTGCTTTGAGGATATACTTTCAAGATCTAACTTATAATGAGGTGGAACATATCCCAGAATTCGACCCAGAAGGAATCTTCGGTATTGAATTTAGTGTACTTACTTTTCAGAAAAATCCTAGTTGTGTATGGCGGACTATGAGCGCTGTAGAGGTTTTCGGAACTTCGAATAATATTTTCCTATTTATCGTTAAAATGAAATAAAACATGAAGTAGATTAAAACATAAATGAAACTGAATTTTTTGAAATTCAATAAAGGTTTCAATTAATGAAAGCTAAAATGAACTTAGGCAATAAATCAAACTAAAATTATTGAACAAGATGTACCAGAAAAAATCAAACAAGGAAGGAAACGTGAATTTAAACATCACCATTGCATTCATAGGACCCCATTTTACACAAAATATAGCTATTTTTTTGAGACATTTGAATTACGTATATTATCATTCAAGAAAACGTACATGCCCTCGAATATTGTCCTCGCTGTTAGCTGCCGTTTTATTTCTAAGTGTAGTGCCTAGCCATACTTGAATTTGTTCTTGACCGCAATACTTCTTCTGATATGTTTATCAACAGAGGTCCGAGAAAAAATCGACCCCATTTGAGGACGTTAACTTCTATTTGTAACGTCTTTCAAATCAAAACAAAGATAATTGACTGAATTGTAAAGGGTGGCTTAAAAAAAATATTATGTATTAGGGAAGGTTATATGAATCGGGCCAGCCCTGAATTGTGGACCAACCTTGATATCTGAGCCTGCTAACTGAACTGTTATATAAACACAGCTATTTTACCATATCTTGACTAAAAATTAAGGGTTATCCCGATTTGGTGTCCTTCTATCCAGTTGGAAGGGTCAGCCTGCTTCCCTTACAAATACTGTTCTATAAATCAAACTTATTTAAATAGAATGGCATCATAAGGGTAAACCTTTTCCATGTGAATAAACTCATAGTAGATTTAATACCCGATTTTGTTTTCAAATCTGGTTGTGCACAATATTTACTGGTTTAATTGTTGCGAAAGGGTTTGTAGTTTACTTGTGATTAATGCTTTTTCGTTTGTTTATTAACAGGATCAATTGGTGGTCAAATGGGATTTTTTCTTGGTGCTAGTATGGTGTCTGTTGTAGAGTTCCTGCTAACGATTATAAAGTGTTTTATCAATGGTGTCACTTGGGTAACAACCCGACAAAGCAATGAGAAACAGGTTAAACCTTTAAACGACAAATAATATTGCTATCCATCAGTTAGATATACATTAGCTGCGAGTTGTATTTACATATATTGAGGAAAAATTATACTCAACTGTAGACATTGAACATGGCGTGGATTACAGATTATATAAATAAGATACCTTCTTGTTTTTTACTTGAAAACGGTTTCGTTCATTTTTATATTACAAACCAGGGATCTGTTTAACGAAATTTTAACTGAGATACAATTTAGTAATTTGATTGGATAATATTAGATTGATTTTTTTTGTGTGCTTTTCGTTCGTTTTAGAGTTTTACGTCCACTTCCGCTTAGCCAATCAAGATTGAAGTATCTACTAAAATTTGGATGTTATCTTTAGTTAAGATTTCAAGATACAGGGCCCTGTTTATAAACTTTCAATATTTATTGTTTTGTTTAATTTATTATGGTAACAAAAAGAACATAACAAATAAAAAAAATATGACCCACAATAATTGTCCTGCTGGCTGTTGTCCCTGTAGGCCGTATTCCTCGCCGGCATTTGTCTGAAGGCGATTGTCCTGACGTCAGTTGTCCTTGCAGACAATTATCCTGCTGCCCAGCAAAAATGTGGCCAGTAATACTTACTCTACCCGTCTCAGGTATATAACTGAACGTTTAATTAGAACTTTTCTAGTTACTACCGGTATTTCGAATAATCATTGCAAATTGTATGTATATATTTTGTATTCATTATGATTACTTACCCTGTCGGTCTCTAGTAAACGTTCCAACTTTCCTCTCAGAACCCCCTGGGTTTCATGTGAGAACGTGATTGACCCAGAAAACGATTATACTCCAAAGCAAATCTGCAAAACCACCCCCTAAAAATCAACCAAGCAGCCCTGTCCTTTAACTTGAGGGGACCGCGGTGGCGCAGTGAGTAAAACACCGACTCGCTTGCCAGGAGGTGTCGGGTTTGCTCCCCGATTTTGTCGAGAAAGTTCTTCGGTCTTTTCTGGCATGGCTTTCCTTATCAGTGGTGTAGAACAACGGGCCTAAAAAGTAACAATGTCTAGTCGTTCGGATGGGACGGCAACCTGGGGCCCCATGTACACATTAGCGTACACTTAAAAGAACCCTTGGCAATTTGAAATAAGAGTAGAATTTCTCCACTGTTCGGGAAAAATCTCTTATAGCAGACTGTATGGTGTATGCCGGTTTCATCATCCCAGTCGGTGCAAAAAAGTTGGCCGTTAAACCCCATTTCATTTCAAAACCCTTAGATATTAAGTTGCGAGGTTTGTTACAGTTATATTGTTTGGATTAATTACCGTTTTTACCTTAGTGACGTTGTTTGTAATTTCATCTCGGTGTTTCTTTATTAAAGTTATGCATTACCTGAGAACATTTAAATTTGGTTAAAACGAAAACTTAAGAAACACAGAGAGGGACATGGGAATGGGATTTAACGTCCACTTGACACAAACTAGGTCATTTCGGGACAATTGATTCAATTTTATATTAATACGGGTCTTTAGCAGAGGAGGGAAACCGGAGAACCCGCAGAAAACCCACGTGGCTGGATAGGTGATCTTATTGTATGAATCGAAACCACAACAGTTGACTCAATAACAGACCATATGACCTTCTTAAGCGCACACGCTACCCCCCACCCCCACCCCAAGGATTGGATGTAAAAAATACCACTGCTTCATAAGTTAAATAAGTGTATATTATTACAGTATTTGTTATTTTAACGAAAACAAATCAGAGCAAAAAGTTATTTACCTGTTATCGTCCTTATCCCGAAACGTTCATTTTGAAAAAAAAAAGCATCAGCAAATTTTCATTTCTATGGTGACAGGAGAATTTTTGGCTATTCCTGGAATTCCAACTGTCAATGGTTCTTTTAAATGCAAACTAATATATATACGGCTTTCACTCAGGTTTTTGGCCCATACGAACGGCTAGGCATATTTTTGTTGTCCGCCTCACAGAAGTCACCCAATTGGAAATGAAAACTCGGGCATTTGTATACAGACTTCCGATGCCAGACCACTCGACTACCCTGATCAACATGTAAACTGAATTTCGATCGAGTTCTCCCTTCTGACTAAACCATATAGTCACGTTTAGAAGAAAAGAAGCCCAGCGAACTTGAGAGTATTTATAAGGGTTTAATTACAGGGGCAGTAAATTTGCAAAAATTCGTTAAACAACTTTAATGCGGAAGGGATTCCTCCTTACGACTAACCGAACAAAGTAAGTTTTTAAATAATCACAAAAACTCTGATATGTCGACTGTTTATAAATATAAAATTATTAACCCATAAACAGAGTTGATGTAAACAAGTGCAAGCTTCGAAATTGGGATTCAGATCTTCAAAATCAACAGTTAAGTATCTAATTATCTTTCCGCAGCGGTCAAACACGTGAAAAGTTCACACAAGTGGAGATGAACTGTGACAAAGACATTCCCAAGCACGTATACTCCTTCTGTATAATATACTCAATATGCGTGAGAGGCATAAGACATGAGATAATTTTACAGCTTTCTTGTCCACTTTCCGAGGCTATTGCCCTGACGTCTGATGAGAGAAAGAATCCTTTAAGATCTGGTGCCAGAACACAACATGTAATTGCTTTAAACTTTGTCCTGTATTGGGTGGGTGTAATAAAGAGAAATCGTAGAGGTGTTTTAAAGGGGACACTATTTAACACTGATTAAGTTCCGTGACTATTTACGGAGTTATTGTGATTGCTTTACAAATTTTATTATCAGTGTTGGGTACTGCCATCAGCATCACCATTACATGTATGTATTAAAAACAGTAGAGACATAGATAAAGCGTCTACAGTACACTTCTAATCACATACTATACATTTTCTTCTATTTCATATTATAACATTAATAACTTAATGCTAATTCAAGATATGGAGAGAAAATTGATTCTTGTGCACCATTTTCCCTGTTATCAGTTATATCAATGCCCTCAACTGAGTACGTGATGCATTATCAGTTGTATCAATACATCATCTGCATCGTTTTAAAATAAGTATGTCATTTCATTTAATTTTTTGGGGGGTATAAAAAGATTAGCATCCAATCAATCTTTATGTAACCTGGGTCTTCATTTTCATTATAAAAATGTACTATTTTATACTATAAACCCGCGACATAATATGCGTCATTATGTCTCCTTCACTTTGCCACATCTTCAATAGTTAAGGCTTGATCTCGCTTCAACTCGGTACATCTCGTGGTCATTGCTTTAGGAACATGACTCTTGGTTTTAAGTTTCGCACCACGCACAATTCAATTGCTTGGCAATATTCACCGTTCTCTGAATTTGCGACACTGATATTTCTATTACTCGTAAAATAGTATTTGAAGAAAATAAAGTATGAAACCTTGAAGTTCCTTCAAATTGATTGCCTTCTCCAAATAAAATACGCATGATCGACGTTCAGAGAAAGATATGAGTAGATATTCTGTAGCCATTTTGGTTATGAAATACGCCCGTAAGTGTGTGCACTTGATTTACATAAGACAAACAACAATTTCCTATTCAGATTTTGGAGGGAGAGGGAGACAGATAGAGAGACAGAGAGAGCACATAAGCTACAACTAATCTTGTTCAACTCTAAAATTCAATATGACTCCTTAAGAACTTTAGCTTTAGCCAATGGGGGCAAGGTAGCTTTTTATAGGAGCATTTTTTGACTTTTCAACAAAATATATTTTCAGATCGTAGTATTTCTTTTTGCTGTGTCTTTGATAATGTTCCGTAAGCCTTTCGAGTGATAAAGGGTCTTGTGTTGTAGGATTCATATTTTCACTATGACTATGCAAAATCTTCAGTAAACAAAGCCTATTATGACTCTCTGGCCTCTTGCATTATATTATTTGTTTAGTAATCATTTTGGTAATCAGTCTGGTTCGCATTAATAATAATTTTACGATCAAACACCTGCACTAACACTAGGACAAACATTTAAAATCTTCGATTTAATTATATTTTATTTGACCGTGTACTAGATTACACAACAGCGAGACGGTCTATACTAAAGAATCTACCGAATAAAAATAATATCGATTGAAACGTGTGCATTTTTGACAGTACACATATTAGAAATTCCCGGTTTTCAAGAGTGGCTTGCTAAATTGTCAAAAGTAAAGGCACGAATTCGTTAGAATATGTCGCGTTGTAACATGTTTATGTATTTGTATCTATATACAGTGACGCATACTGTACACACTTTATTTGGCCCTGTGATGACTAACATATGTGGATAAAATGAAATGGGGTTAACGTCTTCTGCTCCGCCCGGGCTAATAAAGTGTGCTTTTAGGGAAATTTTGCCCAGACAGCGGCGTTGCGGCCTGTACACTTAAGTCGAATTGAAACTGCCAAGGGATCTTTTACGTGCACTCCAATGTGTACACTGGGCCTCGGTTGTTGGTCCCATGCAAAAGATTATAAGTTGTCACTTGCCAAACCCTTTGTACAGGGAAATACGCCGGAAAACAAATGAACTTTCTCGGTCGAGATAGACTGACATATGTACGAGGCCATTGACATCCGAGAATTTTAAACAGTCTTCACCCCCTTGCTGTATATAGATATATATTAACTACAGTTAACTAGCCAATGTCGTATCCTTAATGATAAGAAAATAGGGACTTCGTCACGTGATATGAATAATGCAAATTACGGGTCCAATTTGTGTATACGCTACCAACTAGTTACAATCAACTAGTTTGTTGTTGTACCCGAAACCCGCACGGAAAATCCTAGTTAACACAAGTCACATAACGATGTGGTAATTTCAAGTGTGTTGACAACATATACTACTCAGGGTAAAGGATTGCATGTTAGCTGAATATCTAATAGTATGATTGTGACTTGTTGATTTTATTCCATTTATAGACGTCTATAAACAGCCTGTCATGGGATTTCTGGAGTTTTGTGGAAGTGAATTTTGGGTGAGTCTATATTTATAAGGGATCGAAATGAAATGAAATAGGGTATAACGTCCTACTGTTCTGCTGAGACATGGGCTGAGAAATTCGCCAAACAGTGTGCTATGAGGGAAATTTGGCCCGGACAGCGGCCCTACGGCCTACTCTTATATCGAATTCCAACTGTCAAGGGATATTTTACTTGAACGCCAATGTGTACACGGGACCTCGTTTTTTTCGTCCCATCCGAACGACTAGACAACTGTCCTTGTCAGGCCCCCCGTCCTGCATCACTGACAAGGGGAAACCACGCCGGAAAATCTGGATGAACTTCCTCGGCCAATGCAGGGATCGAACCCCCGACCTACAGGTTAGCGAGCTAGCGTCTTACCCAGTTAGCCACAGTGACACCCTTTAAAGGATCGATAAACATTCTATTTTTGTACGCCAACCGACCTAATGACAACGGGCATACGCTATGAAGTGAGCTATTATGAGGCATATTTTGCCCGGACAACGGTGCTACGGTCTACTATTATTTCCAGTTCCAACTCTCCTAATATTTCCAGCAAATCTAGCAGGGTGCAAATAATTCATGAAATGATGAATTTTACTAGCATGCTATGAAGAAAACTTGCATAATTCTCTAATTTCTGTTTACCTTGGTGGCCCAAAAGGAAACGAATTCATTTGCCAGATTTCCTGGTAAAATTCCACTAGAGTCGAAATATTTTACAAAGCTGGGCGAAGAGAAAAACGAGTTCCAACATTATTACTTAACAGAACTGATTTCTGAACCAAGATACTCTGCATTCCGACAGGGTGCCACGGTGGCTGAGTAAGCAAGCGGTGGCTAATCTGGAGGTCACATGCTCGATCCCGGTGTTGACCGAGACAGTTGATCGGGATTTTCCGGCGTGATTCTCCCTGGTAAGTGATGCAGGATGCGCGGGTAAGGGACAACGTATAATAGTTGCTTGAATGACCCTGTTTACACTAAGACCTACACACACGACAGGTGGACGATTGGGCCGTAGTGCCGCTGTACGGGAATACTTTCTCTTATAGCACACTGTAATAGCGTATGCCTGTCTTTATTATCCTGGTTGGTGCAGAACACTCAACCCTTAGGTTAACACAGTACATACATAGGACAGGTGTTTAGATTATATTTAAAGGGCTGCATAGTTCTCCTTACGACAACATTTATGCTCGTACCTACATATATCTATTTCTTGAAAATTGAGTCTCACACCCTGGCTGTAATCGTCGACACGCAGGAAGCGTATTAATTTAAAAAATTGGCTGGCTTTGAAATTCCACATGTCAAAACTCCAACGTTTAGAAAAAACTTTAGAAATGTTTTTCGATTCCGTTTCAGAACACCAGTCTATTACTAGATGGAACTTGGCCACAATTTACCGATTGTTTTGTACATACAGTAGTTGTATGGATACCTAGTGCATTTATACTACTCATTTTACCATTTTATATCTACCATTTATACCACCACCACGACAATAATACCCCTCCTATACCAGTAAACCTACTGAACTCACTTAGATCGGTAAGTTATTTTATACCATCACCATGACAATAATACTCCTATCCGAGTAAATATACTGAACTCACTTAGATCGGTAAGTTATTTTATACCATCACCATGACAATAATACTCCTCTTATACCAGTATACGTACTGAACTCAAAAATATGTGATCGTTAGAAAATGCTGATACTATACTACCATATTCTGTACAATTTTTGAAAAATAAGTAAAAGTGATTTAAATATGTAGTCTACAAATCGACAAATCTAGACAAAATCTTTGGGGTATCAGAATGATTTATCAGAAATATCACGAGTTTCTCAATGTAAAGTAAATTTTAATGCCACCGATTTGAAAGCTTTTCAAATTCAAATTCCGTAGATGCAAATTGAACACAGTGTTGCGATCTACATGGACGTGCCAAAGTAACTGGCGTTCTAATGGCAAAGTGGTATCAGGTCTTCCGAAAAGAGTAAGCATACTCGCGACAATCATTAGTAAGAAAACGTCAATATTTGCATAATAACGTTGAATGTGGGTAACATGACAGCTTTATTTTATTTTTTCGCAGCTTATTACATCGACATTAGTTGTATTAGCATTGGTGAATCTTGTCCAAGATGAAAGCAACTTGAGTATCAACGGCAAACACATCCCTTTTTCTCATTTTCTAAGTGATACTTTGAGAGCATTTAGCTATGTGAGTACGACATTTTAATAACATGCTTAATCCAAGATGAAAAAGCATCTGTTTTCTAAGAATATGTCATTTGGTAGATGTCTGTATGACATATAGCATGCAGAATCCTTGATCAATTTGTTCTTTCAATATTTTAAAGAATATGTCGCTTGATAGATAGATATAACTTCATTTTTATGTGCCACACAATATCACAACCGGTGTATGTTTATATTTCAGTTCCTAGTTTTAGTTTTATTACATATTGAAAGAAAAAAAGGATGTACAACATCAGGAATTCAGTTTGTGTACTGGCTGTTAGTATTAACAATGGATACCATTCCATTTTATACTTATATCGAGCTAGAGGTATGTGTTATTAATACTAATATCGAACTAGCAATATACTTCTCAATAACATACCTTTAATTTTATACTGATATCGAGTTAGAGGTAGGTGTTATTAATACTAATAACGAACTAGCAATATACTTCTCAATAACATACCTTTAATTTTATACTGATATCGAGCTAGAGGTAGGTGTTATTAATACCATTAACGCACTAGCAATATACTTATGTAATAGCTGGTATTAAATTACGATTATTACATAAAAATTATATAATTATACTTCTCGATACTACTTTTCAAATAAAATTTTAACTTAGAAAATAATAAACTGCCATTCATACATATACGTACTTATGAAGTACTAACTGACCTCACATAAAGAATGTCACCCTTGATTATTTATTTCCTCTTAATTGCTTTTTTAAAAAAAAAAATTAAAGATACATTATGTAAGATTTAGAAAAAGAACTAGCCATTCTTGCTATAATAGTTCGAAAGTAGATGATGTAAAATGAATAATTTGAAAATTTCATTCAAATTACTCTATTGCAAGCGAAGATATTAGCCTTTGAAGGTTTGACATACGTGTGCAATAATTTCAACCACCGTACTGGATGATCGAAGCTAAGTCTTGGCCCTCCATATTTGATTAAATCAAAGTATCGCTGAGCCATTCTAATCTATTTAATATCGGAGAAATCTGATGCCATCGAGAGTTGATTAAGGCCTGGATCAGTTAATTAATGTCTAATTAATATTTTAGAAAACATTTCAGGCCTAAAGAAAAACCTGCAATAGGCCGATTTAGCTCTTGCATAATGCATGTTTAATTTCTTTTTTAATTATTTATTTTTAAAATTATTATTTTTTTAAAATATTTACACGGTGAACAGTCCATTTGCTGATTACACTATTGTGCCTATACCGTTTGTTTTGGGACTTCGAATTTTGTATAATGGTTTGGATTGTTCGTACTTGGTTTTATTTTATTTTCATGAGTCAATAAACTATTTATAAAATTTTTACAATCTGAAGTAAGCAACATTTTATATTGTGTATTGATTTAGGTTATGAATCAATGTTGTAATCATTTTCATTCGTTGTCAATTCTCGATACGTTTTGTATATTATTTTCAGAACCATCGGACAGATTTGATGAACTTTGTTTTATTTTATGCATCATACTTCTTGAAAATTCTCCAATTCGGATTAACATGTCTGTCAGATAGATCGAGCAGTGAAAGACATGGTTACAGTATAATAGGTGGTGTAAGTTACTTCATATTTTATAATTTGTTGCTCAAGTTACATTTCAACATACCTTCAACGGATATGTTTTATATCAGTATCACACCACATCGACATATGGATATTATAAAGCATCGCAATATCCGCAATATAACATGTCAACACAGCTGAAATTACAACATATCAACATACGAGGTATCCACAATATAATATTTAAATATTATCTATATTATATCTTCAATCCCAAATTATTAAGTTGCATTACACTTAGGTTGACGATTCATATTTTTTTACATTTCGTTTCGATTAAGATACCAGACACATAAATTAATAAATCCGTAACTAATATGTATTGGTTTGATTAGAATTGTATTATTGTTCTTGTTTATTTGTAGAACCAATGCCCTGAAGTTAGAGCTTCTTATCCAGCACAACTCGTTTACTCATGGGTGACGAGGTAAATTAAATGTTTGAGAAATTCAATTATTATGGTGTCTCTCCTAAAACCCGATGGCCTGTAAATTAGTATAGTGTACCTTATAGTGTGCTATTACGGTCCGAGTATGCAAATTACGATCACAGAGGCTGTTTAAAGAAAAGTCTGGTATTTATATAAATAGCAAGTAATATGGATCATTACCTGAGCATGACGCCATCTTGAAATTGTGATTTCATATATTAAATCGCAGCTCTTCAATGCCAAGATTCATGTGATCGCATTTGAGTTGACGTACCTTAGTTTTTTTTTTCGAAGAGCGTCGTCTGCAAAGAGTTATTTGATTTTGAGCCCAGTTCTAAATCATTATTCCAGTTTGGTTGTACTTGGTTACCGTAAAGGTCTAGAAGAAAGTGATGTGTGGGATTTAAATCCACGAGATACAAGTGAACGTCTTGAACCACAATTTGAAAAATATTGGAAAAGAGAATGCTTGAAAGCACAAAGAAAGAGGTATACGGGTTACATTATTGAATTGGTGTCAAAATAGAGTAAGCGACGAGGGTCTGCACCACACATACACAATTACACAAGACAAACACATGGACAGGACATATTATACACAGACATTTCAAACAATAAAGAACAAACGTACATATTAGATCCATTGAATGAATCTGGGGGCTATCCGTAAGCTATCTGTTGGATTTATTATTTGTTTAGTTCATCGTGCGACGCCATTGTCCCGCTCTATATTTCATGAATCAAAAATCATGACTCAAAACTGCCCTGGACAAAGTAAGAGTCTGGGATGGTGGGACACACATCCTAAAAAACACAAACCATGCGCCTTTGTCCTAGAGTTTTTTTTTCTCTATTTTATAAGTTTTTAAACATTAAAATGGTGAAATTATAATTGCAACGATTAAGTGGTGTGGCGTTGCTGTAACTGTAGGCACGTTTGGTATTGACCTTTAAGCCTAGTCTTTGAAGATTAACCCGACAGTTTCTATTAATTCCCGATTTATGGGAGCTGCAGTAGTTAACTTCATATAACCTACACGACTACAATTTCCTTCCATATTTTGTGTAAAGTTATGGATATGAAATAACATGCGATCTGAATAGTTGACGGTAGCTTTGATCACAATAAAGGGAATTCTAGAGCCGAAATCGAATTATGACATAAGTCATTTACCAGGGAAATGCACAATTTTCTGACATTTATATTTTGTACCCGCGAGTGGCGTGAAAAGGTTCAAATCAGTGTGATCGTACAAAACAAAATAGTGCGAACATTGAAACGAAAAATAGATTGGTGATCATTTTATTTTGAAATTTCAGTACCAGAAGTGAGATTTTGGTGGCCTTTGCAAATGGTCAAAGCAAAACGGAACTGAGTGAAAAATCACCAATGTTGATGTCCGGTCAGTTGAAATCCTACACCAAATCAACGTCAGCAGATGAATCTAATTCAAACCCTACACAAACATCCAAGAAAAAAGAAAAGAAACCTTCTTTGCTGAAAGTCCTGACAGCCATACATATCAAAGGGTTGACGATATCGTTTGTTAGCAAGTTCTTCGCAGATATATTCCAATTTATCAGCCCCTTGATACTTGGGTAAGTTAGTGCCTGGGATTAAATGCATCTGCGTTCTTTAGTTTGTGATGCCGCGGTGGCTTAGTGAATAAAGCGCTGGCTTATTTCAGAGGAAGTCCCTGGTTTGATCTCGGTGTTGGTCGAGAATGTTTCCTGGGATTTTCTAGCGTCATGCCCGGGGGTCTGGCAAGGACAGCGTCTAGTCCTGCTGGTGGGACGAAGTTGCCAAATCCAGAGTACACGTAAAAGAGCCCTTGGTAGTAGGAATTCGAAACAAGAGCAGACGGCAGCGCCGCTCTCCAGCCAAATTTTCCTCATAGCACACGCAGTTTCAGCTCAACACCATAAATTATCGGTCAGATCTTAATAGCCTCAAAATGTCCCTCTCCTCTAAACAATCAATTTCGGATCCGCGCTGGCCTGCGCATATCACAATTAATAAACCATGTCCCCTAAATGACCGGAGACTTTCATAATTTTTTAATTATTGATTTAGTGAGATGATCAGCTTCATGAGCAACAGAAATTCAATGCATGCATGGAGAGGTTATATTCTAGCTATTGGTTTACTTGTATTTGGCACTTTACGAGCAGTTCTATTTCAAATCAGTTTACATAGAGCTTCTGTTATTGGAATGCAGATGAAATCAGCGCTGATAACCGCCATTTATAAAAAGGTACAGTCACTTTTCTCTTTATTGCAAGGGTGATGGGGGGCAAATTGTTTAACGCTTTAGAACAAAAGGTCTATGGCGTGGTTTCGATTGTCCGCATACACGAAGCGAGTAGACATTAAACCTACTCTCTCTTTATTGCAAGACTGTGTTATGTTATAAGACAATCCACGATATATATGCACTTAGTCATAATTTGAAAACTAACTAAACCTCTTTGCTTTAGGCGCAAGTGAATTATTGAAATAAAATTAAACCATGTGTTAGTCCCGAAATGACCTAATTTGTGTCGAGTTGACGTTAAATCTCTCTCTCTCTATCTCTCTCTCTCTCTCTCTCTCTCTCGAAATATAGTTTGTGTTCAGTGGACGTCGATCCCCCACCCCCTGTCTTTGCTAAAAAATTATCACGAAACGGTAATCTTAAAAAAAATGATTATTCCCTGGTCAACTCCTAACAAAAAAAATCACGATATTAAGTTCTCTTTTAAAATTGATAATATTTACTGTGTTGTAGGCCTTAACAATGAATAACGAAGCCAAGAAGTTTAAAACTGCTGGGGAAGTTGTAAATTTGATGTCTGTGGATTGTCAGAGACTGCAGGAATTATTAAACTATCTAGCTTTACTATGGTCTACGCCATTTCAAATAATACTGGCACTGGTACTACTGTATACTACTATAGGTAAATGCAAACAATGTATATATTATACAAAATGGTGGTTGGATGGCCGAATGGTTAGCACATGCGCGCTGTATCATAAGGTCTGTCATTGAGTCAACTGGAGTGGTTTCGATTCCCGGGTTGTACGTGACAAGGTTAGGGTCGCCTGTCTAATCTCGTGGGTTTCCTCCGGGTCCTTCGGTTTTCGCCCACTATTAAAGACCCATACGCGCAAGCGAATTTATTGAAATGATATTGAACCATTTGTTAGTCCCGAGTGGACATTAAACCCTATTTCCTTATACTACTATAGTATACTACTACACCTAAATTGATACAAACTATGTATATATTACAAATAATCATAAATACACCAAAAGGAAACTTAAAAAAAATTTTGTTAATACCTTTAGCATAAATATCACCACGAACTTGACTAACGTGGCGGGTCATTGCTTTAAAAACCTCCATATTTATTTTGTAGGTCCGGCAGTTTTCGCCGGGGTCGTGGTTCTCATTCTAATGATACCTTTTAATGCCTATTATGTTGGTAAAGAAAGAAAACTTCAAGAAGAAAATCTTAAAATAAAAGATACAAGAATAAAATGGATGACTGAGATATTGAATGGCATGAAGGTATAGTTTTCTATAAGAAAATGTCTTTTCTCTGAATTTCTGTATATTGTTCAAGTCCTGTTTTGACCTTCGATTTATTTGTTCTCTTTAAATATTCCTACCCTCTATTTTTTAAAGGGTATGTTTTAGATTTCGCAGGACATCGTAAATAAATGTGAATTTAAGTATGTATTTTAAACGCCAAAATGTGATGATATGGACTATGTTATGTACCTTTACTTAAAATTCAAATTAAAAATAGAGCTATTCGGAAATGGTGGCTAGATTTGCTTAACCGGCTGACGTTGCAGTTTAAAATTTCATTCTGCAATTGACAATCGCCATGATGACTCTGCTATTATAAGATCATCCAGAATATAAACATTATTATCCTGGCATGTACACCGTACAATTTCACCCCAAGCCAATTACTGAAATCAGAAGACCTATTAAAACGCAAATTAACTACATTCCATTTGTTCATTTGTTTACAATGTTAATTTGTTTACAATGTTTATTTGTTTACAATGTTAATTTGTTAACCTTGTTAATTTGTGTACCGTGCTAATTTGTTTACCATGTTAATTTGTTTACCTTGTTAATGTGTTAATTTGTTTACAGTTTGAATTTGATTACAATTTGAATTTGATTACAGTTTCAATTTGTTTGCTGTGTTAATTTGTTTACCATTTTAATTTGTTTTTCATATTAATTTGTTTATCATGTTAATTCTCTCAGGTATTAAAGCTCTATGGTTGGGAGATGTCATTTAAAGAAAAGGTAGAAAAGATTCGAGCTAGCGAAATCAAAGTTTTAATGAAGATAGCATATGTTTACATTATGGTTGGCATGGGCTGGGCTGTAGCACCATTTATTGTAAGTATAACAAGCGGTTGTCATGCAAGATACGCCCACATTCTGCAAGATATGGACAGAAAACAAGCTTAAAAAGCGATTTTTCGTACAATCAGGGGACATTATCCATGATGTTATGGTTCAATATGCTCGAATGGCAAATGAATCGAAATCTCTGGGATGTAAACGTATATTTTAAGTTTCATCAAAATCAGATAAACATTCCGACCTCAAGAGGGTCCACAATCTTGATATTACATACTTTAACACTATTTGCATACATAGAGTGGTCATGTTGTCCCACATTTTCGGTCCAATTTTTACGAAATTTGAACTCAATGTTCCATATGGTGCAACGGTGAACGTATTTTTAAATGGGGACCACAAACGTGATTTTTCATAAAATCAAGGGGCCATAATCCAGGAAGTTGCGGTCCGATATTCACGAATATTAACAGGAACCAAGATCGTTCGATTACAAATATACATTTTAAGTTTCATCTAAATCGGATAAGAATTGTCACCTCTAGAGTGTCCACAAGCTAAAATCGTGAGTTTTCGTACAATCAGGGGCCATAATCCATGAAGTTTTGGTTCAATACATGCCAAAGTCGAAAGAAACCGTGATCTCTTGGAGATAAGCCTATATTTCAAGTTTCGTCAAAATCGAATAAGAATTGTTATCGAAAACAGTTGCTATTTATTTTGGGCGACGTTTTGAAGAGTATTCTCTCACCGTCATCAAGCTAATACAGTAATACAAAATTGTTTTGCATGCAGTGCATTTAGATACCCGTTTCTGTCGTTGTTTAGAATTACAACTTTGTACATTTTCAGGTAACTCTAGCAACGTTTGCCACCTATATTTTGATTGATAGTAAAAATGTTTTAGATGCACAGAAAGCCTTTGTTACTCTATCGTTATTTAATTTGTTAAGAGTTCCGTTGAATTTACTCGGCGTTATTATTAATTTCAGCATACAGGTAAGTCATTATGTACATTAGCAAATGTTACTCGTGTAGAAGCGATGGTGATTCTTTGCTTTGAAATGTGACAGAATCTATTGCTAGATAATCAATGATTCTTTCAGCGACCACGGAAGCGTTACTGGTAAATGGGACAGTTTAGTTGTATCTTTCGATAGGTCGAAGACTCGAACACATTTACAATGATGTTAAAACATGAACCAAGGTTTTGATATGCCTCCACAGCTCTAAAGTAGAAAAACATAAGGACACCACCCTATACATTTACCAGAAGCTGCTCAAACTAATGTTCATATAACAGTATTCAGAAGGAGCACAATACTGTAATTATATAAATCATTGGGGAATTGGATGGCCGAATGGTTTGCGCGTGCGCGCTGTATCATAAGTTCTACCATTGAGTTAACTGGCGTGGTTTCGATTCCCCGGTTGTACGTGACAAGGAGTAGGTCGCCTGTCCAAGCTCGCATGTTTTCCCCGGGTCCTAAACTTTCCTCCCACTGCTAAAGACCCCTACGCGCAAGCCTATCATTGAAATAAATTTAAGCCATATGTTAGTCCCGAAATGAGTCGAGTGGACGTTAAACCCTATTTCTCTCTCATATATAAATCATTACAATTCCTCAGTATATATATACAAGCATACATATAAATCATTACACGTCTTCAGTGATTTTTATAAACGTGTAAGAAGTATCCATTTATTTGTCCATTTTTTCCAGTCGTTTGTTTCTGTAAAAAGACTGAATGAATTTTTATTGCAACCCGACTTAGATCCAGATAGTTCAATAAAAGATACTAGATCTGGTAACAAACTTATACTTATTTACCTTTACTACAACGAACTTATACTTATTTACCTTTACTACAACAAACCTATGTTTATTTACCATTACAATAAGAAACTTATACTTATTTAACTTTACTATTACATATACTTATACTTATTTACCTTTACGATAAACTTATACTTATTTACCTTTACGATAAACTTATACTTATTTAACTCCACTATAACAAACGTACACTCATTTACCTTTACAACAACAAACTACTTATTAAACTTTACTAGAAAAAATGTTTTGCACTTATTTACCTTTACTAGAAAAAGAAATGTATACTTATTTGTCTTTATTAGAAAAAATCATATACTTATTTACCTCAACTACCACATACTTATGTTTATTTATCTTTATTATTACAAATTACTAATTAAAACAAACTCATTACTGTATTCTTTTGTATTATTTAAATACTCAAAACTAAACAAATTAATATTTACAGTCTTTGTCGTTATATTATTACAAACTGTACAATTTATTGCATAAAATAACTGTACATATAACTGAGTCAACTGGCGTGGTTTCGATTACCCGGTACGTGACAAGGAGTATATTTCTCTCTCTTTCCCCCTCTCTCTCTTTCTCTCTCTCTCTCTCTCTCTCTCTCTTCATATATGTATACTTATTATTACAGAATATGCTTTGTCTATAAATGATGGCCAGTTTAAGTGGGATAAGGATATGCCGCCTGTTTTAAATGAGTAGGTTTATTTAAATTATGTTAATATTGAAATAAGTCGAAGATTATAAAACTAAACAATTCTTTCATATTATAATGAGCAGAATAAGCAAATTTTGTCTTTCCAAGTTCAACTTAAAACGAAATGACCAATAGAACCAGATAAGTGTTATTTGAAATTATCTTTTAAACCTAGAACTGCAACAATTACCTATGGAATACTAATTGCACATCATAAGTTGAAAGTACACGTGAAGCGTTTCCCAAAAGTATGGTTCAAAAGAAGCGTTAGCATTTATTCATTTTCATTTTTGTTTAGTATTAATATAAATATACCCGAAGGTAAACTTATTACCGTGGTTGGACAAGTTGGGTGTGGCAAATCATCATTGATCTCAGCATTACTCGGTGAGATGGAGAAAGAACGGGGTTCAGTTACTGTTAAGGTAAGCAAAAATAATGTATCTGTTGTTTCTTCGCAGCAGCTTTCTATGTCTGGAAAAAACCTATAAACACCTAGGGCTATGGACATTCTTAAAATTCATAAATAATTTTAGTTTTACGACCTGTGCGTGTTCTCTATAGAATTCATGCAGGGCCATTCGAAATTTTAAATGTAAAATAAAATAATTCTAAAATGTTACAATAGCAATATTGTTATTAATTTATAACAATAGTTGTTAGTTAGTTGTATTTTACGTCCGCTTCCACCCAAGTGATATCGCAGACAATAAACCAATTTCAGCCTTTATAGGGGGTTGGATGGCCGAATGGTTAGCGCGTGCGCGTTGTATGATACAGTCTGTCATTGAGTCAACTGGCGTGTTTTCGATTCCCAGGTTGTACGTGACTAGGAGTATTTTCGCCTGTCCAACCTCGTGGGTTTTCTCCGGGTCCTCCGTTTTCCTCCCACTGCTATAGACCCATGTGCGCATGCCAATTACTGAAATAAAATTGAACCATATGTTAGTCCCGAAATTCCCTAGTTTGTGTCGAGTGGACGTTAAACCCCATTTCTCTCTTTCTATATATATGGAGTTAAAACATTGTATATTGTGTTGATCTACAAGTTATTGAATCTTCCAAACGTCTACATTTCTCAAATACAGCGTTTGAAAACTCTCTAATTCTTAAATTGTTTACAGTAAGTGACGGTATTGAGTGGTAAACAATGGGTGTTCCGGAATAGTGCAAGTACCTGGGCATCAAATATTAGAATTTATTTTACAAATTTACATTTTCAAGAATTAGTATGATTAAAAATTGATTAATGATGATAATTTTTCTGGCTTGCATATATTTAGTGTCACTTTACTTTGACAATGGTATATTTGCCAATTTCTCAATTGAAAATAGTAAATTATAGAATTAATAGGATTATTCTTAACAAGGTAGGACTGTGTATAAATGTCATCTATTTTAAGGCTTTATTTTAACACATTTTAAAAATATAATTTCAAAAATGCAATTTTCACTTTCAAAATTTACGAGCAAACATGAAGAGTTATAACTCATTTGCTCCGCGCATGGACATGATAACCCACATCATGTGTTTGCTGTAAATTAATAATTTAGAACCATTGTCTATCATCATTATGTAAAGTATTAAAACATTTGCACATTGTTTTAAAAAATATCTTTATAGCGTTATTGAAATAGTGAACGTCATTATGTGAACCCACAGAATTATTAACGTCAAAATCACTAACCAAATAAAAAGAAACGAATAATTTATTATATTTTTAGGGTTCTATAGCATATGTATCTCAACAAGCCTGGATGAAGTATGATACACTAAGAGATAACATACTATTTGGTAAACCCTTTAACCATACTAAATATAAAGCTACTATAGAGGCATGTGCTTTATCAGCAGATCTAGAGATATTACCTGGTGGTGATATGACAGAAATAGGCGAAAAGGTAAAACTAATTCATTTAATAGATACAACATACTTCGCTTGACCTTCACTGATCTAACCCCTATTTCACCCCATATACCGACCCTAAAGATTTGTTCAATGATTTAAATAGTGATAGCTAATTAAATTTACTAGATAGGCAACACAATGTAAGATAAATATTACTCTTTGGACAGCTTAATAATTAAAGATGTTTAGTGCAAGTGCCCTTGTTTTTCAAAAAGATCATTTGATTTTTTTCAAATAAATCCATTTTTAGCAGATGTTCTTAACAACTTGTTCATTTTTATCATTCTGGTTCCTCTTATTACAGTATATGTCAACTTAGTGTTCTGTTCTAAGAACATGCAAAAATACTATTTTTAGCAGATTTTGTGAAATGGCACGTGTCCACCTTATATCATTAGCATCCGCAATTGAATAGAATCCGTTAATTTTGGGGCTCTTAAAATCGAAAGATAATTCTTTCAAAGCATATTATCTAATATTTTGATTTTATTCAGGGTATTAATTTAAGTGGTGGGCAAAAGCAGAGAGTTAGCTTAGCTCGTGCATTATACAGTGATGCCGACATTTATTTGTTTGATGATCCACTCAGTGCTGTAGACTCACATGTTGGGAAACATATATTTAAAAAAGCTATAGGACCGTTTGGTTGTCTTAAAAATAAGGTAAAGTTATGTTATAGTTTATAACTTCATCGATTTAACAGTCAGAACTTATGTATTTAGACATATATCTGATTGTTCTTCTTCTTGGAGCGACGCTCTTCGAAATGAACTTAATAATGCCCCGCCAATTTTAAATACAATTGACGTGAAACTTGGCATGATTTTTCTTGGCATCATGATTCGGTATCGATAGACAGATTTTTATATAGATTCAAGATGGCGATGATGACTTCATGCATTGTTCTTGGTCCAATTAGAACCATCAAATTTGTTATCTGAATGTATGGTATTGATTTTAAGAGCATTGCTCATCGGTGGCATGATTTTGGTTTCTATTCCATGATCATTTGCTAACTGTACTAAGGTTTCTCTGGGTTTGTTGCAAATGCAATGACAATTTTTATCGCTAACCCCTGGCAGTGCCGTAACCATCGACTTTCATGACCGTCATTGGTTACATCGAGAGCTAGCTGTGTTTAGCAGAGATTAGACCTTATTCCTCGATCTCGTGTCAATTCAAATTAACATTTTGTGTATGACGAATATTTAAATGAACCAAGTTCAAGTTCGAGCTATTTCGCATATTTTTCTAAATCAAACACTTTTTATCTCTGTAGACCCGTGTTTTAGTAACTCATGGTGTACACTGGTTACCGATGGTTGACAATATTTTAGTTATGACGGATGGTCGCATTACAGAACGTGGAACATATACAGAATTACTCAAAGTTAATGGAGAATTTGCTCAGTTTTTAAAGATATATCTTACTCAAGGAATCGGACTAGAATCGGATGAAGAACTACCTGATGAGGAAAGTAAGAAATCTATAAGATGCGCTATACTTTGAGTTAAACAATCTATCCCGATCCCTTGCGACTTTTATGAATACTCTTCTTAACAGTAAGTGCAGGAGAGTCGCGGTACACGTGGTAAGACAAACCTACGGACAAAAAATGCACATGTACATTTGCATGTCAAAAGTCCGTTTACTGCCATTTACTCGTTTTATTAACCACTTGTTTTTTTTATTTCTTGTACGTGGCAAGGAGAAGGGTCGCCTGTCCAACCTCGTGGGTTTTCTCCGGGTCGTCCGGTTTCCTCCCACTGCTAAAGACCCCTACGCGCAAGCGAATTATGTAAATAAAATTAAACCATATGTTAGTCCCGAAATGACCTAGTTTGTGTCGAGTTGACGTTAAACCCCATTTCTCTCTCTTGTTTTTTATTTCCCCTTAGTATTTATTGCATATTAGCCTTTTGTACGAATAAGAATGTGAAGACTTAAATTCTGTTTGTAACAAACCCTTATAAATTATAACGCCAGAGTTGCATCTATAGCGCTAATTGTATATAGATTCAGCACAGTTGAAGTATGTTGCAACTATAACATTGATGTTTGTTGGTTTCAGTTGAAGATATGCGAGAACGAATGTGGGATAAAATTGAAGCTCTGACTTCTGATGCTATGACCTCGGGTGACGAGAATCCTATTACAGAACGTAAAAGGTTAAAACAAAATTTAAAAAACAAATATATAATGTTAAAACTCATATGTTACGTTACGTACTTTTTAAGAATATATAGATTAAGTATGATGTTATTGTTTTAATCTATTTTTTTATTTAATTGAAATAAATTTCTATTTTCTTTGGTCTCCTCTTGTCAGTGCTGTAGGACGGGAGGAATGAAAAGGAACAGAGTCTAGTCATGGGACGAAAAATCGATGTCACGTACTCATTAGAGTGCACATAAAAGAACACTTAACATTTGGAATTCGAAATAATAGGCCGTAGTGCCGATGTCCGGGACAAATACTCCTCATAGCACATAGCATGGTGTAGGCCTTCATTATCTCAGTCGGTGCATAAACGTTAGACGTTAAACTCCATTTCAATCATCCAGTCTATTTTCTTGTCCAAAATGATAGACTTGTTAAGTTTTGACGTTAATTTTCATTATTTTAACATGATCAACCCCTTATTCGCATATTTCTATTTGTTAACAGGAGAAGAAGCTCTTTCAGCGGGGTTAGTGGTCGCCACTCATTCTCCAGAATGTCTCTATCTGTGTCAATCAAACAGTTACCAAGAAGAGAAACCGTTACAGAAATCATAGAAAAGGGAAAATTAACAGAACTTGAAGTTACGGGGCAGGGCAAGGTACAGATACATTTGTTTATTGTGAAGTGGAGTTCATGGTTTCCTGCTGGGTTATGGTACTTTTAATTCGTCGCTTTGGGTTTACATGTGGAAAATCAAAGGGGTGCGGAATCGGGCTTAAACATGCATTAAACATGGATTTGAATACATTTTGTGATGGATAATTTAACGTAAAAATGGATAATCAAGAATTTGGTTATTATCGTACCAACGTTAGTAATGACGATCGAGGCTAGCCTAAAATGAAACGCTAATATCTCGATTCAGAATGAAGAAATTTGACTGAAATTGTCAGCATATTCTGTTTTTATTATCTATTTATTAACTAGTATAGGAAGAACTGTCAGCTCTTTATCTAATCTTATACCTAATGCCCATTTAATCGAATTTATTTATATTCCAAATTGATACACTCGAATCCCGATCGTTATGTATCATGAATCCCGACCGCTATGAATAGGACATTTTAACTGACCCAATTAAGTCTAGTAAACAAATAGTTTATCGGCTATTTTCGATTTCTTGATATCCTAAATTTCTATATTTCCTATTCAATAAATATTGATATTGCAAATTAAAATCAAACCAAATTTTTAAATTGTATTCCATCGAAAGAAAATCATGGGTTTGATTATGAGAAAACTCCACGATCCAAACAACAAGGATGCATTATCCTTAAATTGACTTCAGGTTTGCGGAAGAAATTCATTAAACAATATATGAACTTTTCAGTGTTCCCCCGAAATAGATAAACGACACGACAATACTGACCGACTTATTTGAAACATGTATTTTTTGTTCTCGCTTCCTTTCAGATACCATTATCTGTCGTCAAGGATTATGTAAATTCCGCTGGTCCTTTTGGGTTGCTATTAGGCGTGTTTTTCTATATATTGTTCCAAGCAGCAAGTGTAGGTTCAACTTTCTGGCTTACCTATTGGACTGGAGACTCCCAGATTAACGACCCCAACTTCCAACAGAATCAAACCAGCGCTTTTGTCAATAAAAACCATTTGTTTTTAGGAATTTATGGATTGTTTGGTGTTGTTCAAGGTAAGTGTTCTCTTGGATAGACAATTTGGATGTGCCTATGGCCATTTTCTCAACAAGAAAAACAAAGCAAAACCTCATTGACAAATGACTAAAATACAAATAACGGTAGGCCTACTGTTAATTTATGCAATTGTATTACTTTTATTGATGTCGTTGACAATCTGAAAATGCATAGAACTTAGTTGTGCTCTTGCTCGATCATACCCTTGTTCAGTTTCTCAAAATAGTCAACGTCGCCCCGCTCTTTTTGTATTATTATTTAATGACCAGACACAAACTAAATTAATGTTGATGTAATGCAAACATTTATGAAATTAAATTACATGTGTTTATCAGTCTGAAAATCCATGCGAAATGCGAAATAAAACAGGTATGGTAAACAGATTAACAATGACTGACTGATTATAATCCTTATATCTCTCTGTGTTTCTTTCAGTGGTTATGATTATTGTCCACAGTTTGTTTTACTGGACTAGATTAGTCCGGGCTGCCAAAACAATACACGCTAATCTGCTACAAAAATTATTCCGTGCACCCATGTCATTCATGGATACAACACCCATTGGACGAATAGTCAACAGAATTTCCAGGGATATTGAAACCATTGATTCCACTTTACCACAAGTACTGAAGATGTGGTTGTCCACCTTTATGATCGTGTTATCCACGCTGTTGGTGATCAGTATTACTACCCCGATATTTATAGCAGTTCTGGTTCCTATAGCTATATTTTATTATCTTATACAGGTAAAATTTTAGTTATTTAGCGTTAGGGTGGTGGCAGATTGGTTTGTCATTGAGTCAAGTGGTTCAGTTTCTATCCCACACAAGGGGTAAGGTCGCCTTCCAAACCCCGTGGGGTTTCTCTTAAATAAAAATTCTCTAAAATAAAAATTATCAGGTTCTGGTGAGTATAGCCGGTTAAACCACGTTTTTTTTATCTCTTATTTATATAACCACAACACTACATATCTGAAAGTATATCTCCCAGGGTTTAACTTCCTACTGTTCTGTTCCTACTGGGCGAATGAAAACGGGTAGTGAGAAAGGAGCTGACTTACTAACCAAGACGTCCAGAGATCGATCTCGGTGTTGACCTAGAAGGTTTCCTCGGGATTTTCCGGTGTGGTTTGCCCTTGTCAGTAGTGTAGTAGCAGAGTCGGACACGGAACAGCATTTAGTCGTTTGGGTAAAACGAACAACCAAGGCCCCGTGTACACGTCGCACGAAATAAAAATAGGCCGTAGCGCCGCTGTCCGGGCAAAATCCTCCTTATAACACACTGTATAGGACTGAAATGAAATGAAATGAAATGGGGTTTAACGTCCTAAAGGTCTACTCCGAACTGGGCTAATGAAGACGGGCATACGCCATACAGTGTGCTATGAGGGAAATTTTGCCCGGAAAGCGGCACTATGGCCTACTCTTATATCGAATTCCAACTGTCAAGGGATCTTTTACGTGCACGCCAATGAGTACACGGGACCTCAGCTTTTCGTCCCATCCGAACGACTAGACAGCTGTCCTTGTCAGGCCCTCCGTCCTGCATCAATGACAAGGTCGAACCACGCCGGAAAATCTGGATGAACTTTCTCGGCCAATGCAGGGATCGAACACCCGGTCTCCAGGCTAGCGAGCCAGCGTCTTACCTACTTAGCCACGTGATTCCCCACATTGTATGGCACATGCCTGTCTTCATTAGCCTGTTTGAAGGAGAACGCTATGACGTTAAACCCTATTTCAGTCATTCATTCATCCGGATGCTTTATAGTTTTCTTATGCAAAGTTTTATTATTTCAGTGTTTCTATATCCCTACATCACGTCAACTAAAACGAATCGAATCTGTAACCAGATCACCAATATACACCCATTTTAGTGAAACTATCAACGGTGCGAGTACAATCAGAGCTTATGGTGCAAGTAATCGATTTATAGAAGACATCAAAAACAAAGTTGACAAAAATCAAATATTCTATTTTGCTGGTCTTGTTTCAAATAGGTGAGTTGGCTTTAGAAATCGAATGATTATGGCTTACTTATTCAGAATCGTTTGAAACGCTTCATAGACGTTTAAATTAATAAGCCTTGACATTGCTAAAAGTTTAAGGTATCATGATTTCAAATTCGCCATTTATTTACTTCCGTGAATCGCACGTGTCTATTCAAAGTTTATATCGGTCATACGAACGATTTTTTTTTAAAAATTGCATATAAAAATGAATTATAATTTCAATTTAACTTAATGAATACCAGCGTCTCTCGGTGGTTATGCATTTAGTAATTGTGTTGAGTTTTCTGTAATCTTGTAAAAAGATTTCATATATAATGGGTTAATCTAAGAATGAATGGGTAATCTAAAAATTAATGGGTTAATCTAACAATTAATGGGTTCAATCTAATTAAAATACAGATCTATGTTTTGTTTCATGAAGATCTGACCAGATGTACTGGGGGGTCGTGTCAGGGGTCATACAAGCCACTTTAGACCCTATGCCACCAGCCATTGATTAATCAATCAGTGTTGACGTGTCTAGGGGTTTACCCACAGCTCCGTGTAGAGCACGCCAAGAACTCTCCGTAACAGACAGTTTCATTGGCTAATTACTCACAATAACTCGAACCCCTGTAATATAGCAACTCTTCCAGTTCCTAGTGCTGTACAGACAAGTTAAACGAAATTTTGAACTATAAAAAACGAAATGAAATAGGATCTGTGTTTTAGCCAAATTGCAATTGGTTAAAATGGTGGTTATTTTGGTAATATGCGTTAATCTAAAGATGACAACAGCCAATCCTACTAATATTGTATGGATGTACCCGAGTTAGCTGTTTTTGTTAAAATAAAATAAAAGTATGGGTACAACGCCCGTTGTCTAGTAATGAAAACCCCTTCTTATTGTACAGATGGTTGGGATTAAATCTAGATGTAGTATCCAGTGTGGTTGTATTTGCTGCTAGTATTTTAGCTGTACAGTCAACTGATACTGGTGCTGGAGATATTGGTCTTTCTGTATCATATGCTTTACAGGTATTATAATAATTGTTAAAGCGATAGTTGCATTTTGTAAAGTCAGATGTTTGAAATATGTTAAAATAAAGTCTTAAAACACACCGAATCTATGCACAGTCCCACCATTATGTTTTAACTTAACATATATGCAACTTCGAAGTCATCCCAAATTGACCTAACTCGCCCTTGAATATATGATAAATGAAAAATATTTAAATAAAAGGAAAAGAACAAAAGAGTAATGGTATTTTTTTTTTGTAAAGAATATTAGGTAATATGATTTATACATGAGTACTTGTATTTTGCCATTGAATGTACGTTTGTTATTTCAGATCGCGGCAGCTATATCGTGGATGGTTAGACAAATGAGCGATTTAGAAACTAATATTGTATCAGTGGAAAGGGTTTTAGAATATAGCAAGATAGATTCAGAGGTATCAATTTAACTATAGTTAACTGAGAGAAAGGTTTTGTTTTTATTTTTGGTTTTGGCAGACTCTGGATGTTAATGGGGTAATGCGTACATCCCAGTTTTACACATGACAAGGGGTGAGGTTTTCTCTGTTTCTTAACGAGTGGACTTTAAACCCTATTTCTTGCCCACGCTTTAACTCTTCGTAGTGAAATGAAATGAAATGGGGTTTAACGTCCTACTGTTCTGCTCCGACTGGGCTAATAAAGACGGGCATACGCCATACAGTGTGCTATGAGGGAAATTTTGGACGGGCAGAGGCACTATGGCCTACCCTTATATCGAATTCCAACTGCCAAGGGATATTTTACGAGCACGCCAATATATACACGGGACATCGTTTTTTCGTACCATCCGAATGACTAGACAGCTGTCCTTGTCAGGCCCTCCGTCCTGCACCACTAAGGGGGAACCACTTCGGAAAAACTCTTCATATTATGTTCATTCTCCTCGCGCATATGTTCTAACAAGAGAACGTATACCCTGAATTAACGCCAGTCAATGTACAATGCAGCAATCGTCTGGGGATGGAATTAAGAGAAACTGTGGGATATCTGACGGTGTACATTGTTGCATACTGGTTCATTTATTGTAGTAGCCCATATCTAGTAGGTTTAAGATAATTCCCGGCTAAGTTATTTTTTTTAAAGTTATTGTTCATTATCCTTAAAGAGGGGCTAACACGTCCACAGTTGGTGCTGTTTATTTTATTATTCTTAATTTTTAGTAGATGATTGTGTATTATTCTTCAGGCTGAATTAACTATACCCGAAAATCAACCCCGTCCAGATTGGCCGGATCAGGGTTGTGTTTCATGGTTTGACTATGAAACCAGATACAGACCAGGATTAGACCTAGTATTAAAGGGAATAAACTGCGACATCAATGGCGGCGAAAAGGTAGTCTTATAATGGAATTGTTTAATATTAATATATGCATCAATTTCAAATACATCATTTACTTTTGTCTATGCTTTAAGTTCAGGGCCAGTAAAAGTCAGCATATTAAAATAATAACGATATGAACTTTTGAGTTTGATCCCCTTTGGGATATTTTATTCAAATTTTATTTAGATCGTTCAAAACAAAAACCTTTTATTTATGGCCCTACTGAGTTTACATCAATTTCTCTCATCTTTATTTGATAAGATTATAACCATAATTATAATTCTGAAAATTCCATACCGGCTCCGGTTTCACAAAACATTCTCCAACTAAAGTTAAAAATTTACTCAAAATTGTTCGCCTTATTTTAACTAAAATATAGCCCTTTATAAAACGTTTCTTGCTTTAATGTATCAAATACATCAATAAGAAATTCTTAACTGTCTTCTATGTGCTTGGATTTAATTAACCTTTTGGCAGTTGCCACATGTTAATATTGACTACCCAGTTCCTTGAAGCAAATTAGAGAAACGTGATATATTAATACCGGTACATCCTCGGACAGACCGAAACTGTTGTTCCTTAGACCGCCTCAAATTGTCCAAGATGTGTGAATAGCTTTCGGTATTAAACGGAATAAAATGAAATGCGATTCAACCTCCTACTGTTCTGCACCGACTGGGATAAGAAAGACGACCGTATTATAGGAACATTTTCAGTTGTACACTTAACGGAGCGGTTTAATAAACCGTTCATATGGCGGTATAATTGCTAAAGGGCTAAATCGTAATAATGCGTTTCAGTAAAAAGTGAGTATGAATATATTAATATTTGTTATTGACTTTTTTCTAATTGTAATATTTGTATTTTCAGATTGGAATTATAGGTAGAACTGGAGCTGGTAAAAGTTCTATGTTTTTAACGTTGTTCAGATTAATTGAACCATCCAATGGCGATATTGTAATAGATGGTGTACATATATCTAAGATAGGCTTACATGATCTTAGATCTAAACTTACTATACTGCCACAGGTTAGCCCCCTTTCCAAAAATAAATATCACAAAATTTTCAAGAATACACTATGTTTACTATTATATGCACAGCACAGTAAAAACGCTAGATATTGTGTATCGTTAACCTTCAATGTTCGTGTTCGGTTGTCGTACCATATAGTCACACCCACCCCAACACCCGTTATAGCCCACAAGAACTGTTTAGATGGCTAAAAATCTGGGTCAAAAATCAAATTTGCGATTTCATTTGATTTTATGCGTTTTGTTGTGAGGTATCACTATCAGTTTGGTGCCGTTTAATAATTTAAATGTATTGATAGCCGATTTTATATTCGGCTGACGAAACAGTAAGACAAAAATGAAAATCAAATCAGTAACGGAGCCGACTTCCGCTAGAGCTATGCCAAAAGTAATCAAAATAACGTACCCTATCAAATACTTTAATTTGACAAAGATTCTACTTTCTCCAATTTCAGGACCCTGTTTTGTTTTCTGGTTCTCTCCGAATGAATCTTGACCCTTTCGATGAATATTCCGACTACCAGATCTGGACGGCTTTAGCTCAGTCACATTTAAAACCGTTTGTAGAAGGATTACCAGAAACTATAATGTATGAGTGTGGTGAAGGTGGTTGTAATCTAAGGTAAGTTTTATTTACGTCTTGGACCGTGGTAAGCGAGAGGTTAGTGAACGAGACCCTCTAGTATATTTTTCATAGGATTAAATCCCGGTGTGGCGCAGCGTACGAAACTATCGCTCGAAAACTAAATGACAACTGTATTTTCACCACGAATACAATGAACCACCATTTGGCTCAGTCTTCTCAGGCAGATTTAAGTCAGTATCTTAAAACCCATTTACGTAAATAATGAAGACGTTCCACGTTTAAGAATTTTAAACGTATTCGAGTTTCTCTTTGGGATTTGATGGCCGAATGGTTAGCACGTGCGCTCTGTATCATACCGTCTGCCTTTGAGTCAGCTGGCGGGGTTTCGATTCCCCGGTTGTACGTGACAAGGAGTAGGGTCGCCTGTCCAACCTCGTGGGTTTTCCCCGGGTCCTCCGGTTTCCTCTCACTGCTAAAGACCCCTACGTCCAACCGAATTATTGAAATAAAACTTAACCATGTGTTAGTCCCGAAATGACCTAGTTTGTGTCGAGTGGACGGTAACTCTCTCTCTCTCCCTCTCTCTCTCTCTCTCTCTCTCTCTCTCTCTCTCTTTAGTTTCTCTCACAATTTAGACTACAATTGTATTTACAGTGTGGGGCAGAGACAACTCGTATGTTTAGCTAGAACTCTATTGCGCAGAACTAAGATTTTGGTGTTGGATGAAGCCACCGCAGCTGTAGATTATGAAACTGATTCTTTGATACAGCAAACAATTAGAACAGCATTTAAAGATTGCACCATCATAACAATAGCACACCGAATTAATACAATTATGGATTACGATCGGTAAGTTGTTCAACATGCATTATGCAAGAGCTAAATCTACAGGCCTTTCTTTGTGCCTGAAATGTAATCTAAATTATTAATTAGACATTAGTTAACTGATCAAGACCATAATCAATTCTCGATGCAATCGTTAGCCGGCAATCTTTAGTGGATTTCAATACATTTTGTGATGGATAATTTAATTAAAACTGGATAATCGAGACTTTGTTAATTATAGAACCAACGTAAGTAATGAAGAGCGAGGCTAGGCGAAAGATGAATCATTTATATCTTGGTTCAGAGTAAAGCAATTTGGATTAAATTTTCAGCATTTTCTGTTTTCATTATTTCTATTTTCATTCCGACAATAATTGTTTTTTTTACTCTACATAAGATGGCACAGCTTCGTTGCTAGATATCATTTCATTTCAAAGATTTAATATAATTTCATGATTAGTTTACAGTTTACACGTTTTGAATTATTTTAATTTTTGAAATGCAAAAAATATGAAACTGCTTGTGTGATACGAACATTAGCAAAATTTAGAAAATTAATGCAGTGTAAGGAATAAATCATATAAAATAAACATACAGGTTAAAGATAATAAATCATATAATATAGACATACAGGTTAAAGATAATAACTCATATGATATAAACATACAGGTTAAAGATAATAACTCATAATATAAACATACAGGTTTAAGATAATAAATGATATATTATAAACATACAGGTTAAAGATAATAACTCATATAGTATAGACATACAGGTTAAAGATAATAACTCATCTAATATAAACAAACAGGTTAAAGATAATAACTCATATGATATAAACATACAGGTTAAAGATAATAAATCATCTAATATAAACAAACAGGTTAAAGATAATAACTCATATAATATAGACATACAGGTTAAAGATAATAACTCATATAGTATAAACATACAGGTTAAAGATAATAAATCATCTAATATAAACATACAGGTTAAAGATAATAAATCATAATATAGACATACAGGTTAAAGATAATAACTCATATAATATAAACATACAGGTTAAAGATAATAACTCATAATATAGACATACAGGTTAAAGATAATAAATGATATATTATAAACATACAGGTTAAAGATAATAACTCATATAGTATAGACATACAGGTTAAAGATAATAACTCATCTAATATAAACAAACAGGTTAAAGATAATAACTCATATGATATAAACATACAGGTTAAAGATAATAAATCATCTAATATAAACAAACAGGTTAAAGATAATAACTCATATAATATAGACATACAGGTTAAAGATAATAACTCATATAGTATAAACATACAGGTTAAAGATAATAAATCATCTAATATAAACATACAGGTTAAAGATAATAAATCATAATATAGACATACAGGTTAAAGATAATAACTCATATAATATAAACATACAGGTTAAAGATAATAACTCATAATATAGACATACAGGTTAAAGATAATAAATCATCGAATATAAACAAACAGGTTAAAGATAATAACTCATATGATATAAAAATACAGGTTAAAGATAATAAATCATCTAATATAAACAAACAGGTTAAAGATAATAACTCATCTAATATAAACAAACAGGTTAAAGATAATAACTCATCTAATATAAACATACAGGTTAAAGTTTCATAAGTAACATGAATTTATTTTCATAGGGTTGCTGTAATGGATGAAGGGAAGATTATTGAGTTTGATTCTCCTACACGTTTATTGGATAATAACAAGAGTCAATTCTACAGTATGGCGAAAGAAGCAGGGATAGTTACTTAGACCAATCTTGTTTATTAAATATGTTTATGGATATTTGTTATATTTCTCAACGGATTAACATTTATTATTATTGAAACTGTTCCGAGTTCTGTCTTATTTTTCTGTAATAGAAATACCATCAGTTGACGGATATTATTAGCGTTTTATCCAATTGCTTGATCATAATTGTTTCAAGATGACCCCCCCCCCCCCACACACACACACACACACACACACACACACACATACATTCGTCGTCGATTGGTAGGGCGTTTGAAATGAATAATTCAATAATGCATTCGGACATTCGGATATATGTTGAATTAGACTGTGTGGAAAAAAAATTGCGGCAAATATATGCCAATCCATAGCGGAGATATGATTGAATTACTGGTCATTGTTAAAATATATGACGAACTTCCTGATGGTTATCTGGGTATCGGTAGAAACAGTTGTTACAACGCCATTGCCACTGCCATATTATATTCATAGATAGTGTAAAACTGTACAAAAGATTTTTGAATATGGCGAATGAATGAATAACAACAAAGATTACATATATTAAAGGCTCAACGCGTCCTTTAGCGCTATATGAATCCTTTGCTAACTACAATATTGTGAGAGTTATATCACTGACATGAACATAAGCAAAAAAATGGCTCATTTTCGTTCAGTAGTTGTTATGATAAATTGAAATTTCATCGATCTATGTTGCTCGGACGTACAAAACGCCGCCATCTTTTATTGGTAGCTGGGAAACCCAATGGGCCTCAATTAAATCCGATGAGTCCAAGCCGGGAGATTATATAGCGCGAGTGTTTTGGTTTTGTTTTCTTAATTAAATGTTAAGTGTATTAAGTCGTGAGAAACTTTGTATTTTAGCGAAAACGCAAATAACACACCTCGCCTTTAATATTATCATGTGAATTGTAATTGGTAAACGTGTATATCATCATAAACTGACTATGAGTGTGTTATCCTATGGAATACCATACATACATGAAATAATATAAAAATCCAATTAGAAAAAATACATATAATTGCAGCAAATAATTATTTTGTGTTTATTAAATCTATGAAAAAAAATCCCACTTCAAGGAACATTGTTGATTTTGTACGTATTAGCGTACTACAGACAAGGAACCGAGCATGACTTGTGACGTCATATCAAAAAAAGAATTTCGTCAATCGACGTGAAATTGTTCAAGGAACAAGCGTGTCGATCGTAGAGACTTGGGCTGTAATTAGAATCTGACAATATTGTTTTGTATGTTTGTATTATAATTATGTAATTTATGAAAGATTTTCGTCTTTTTAGTCCATACTCGTTTTAGCAACTACTGTTGGTTCAAGGGTACAGGGACTTCCCATTCTGGCAGCAAAGGCAATAAAGAAGAAGACTAATGTTTCCAGTAGTTCAACAAGCGTAATCATACTTGCTCCCACAAACAAACCCATATGTCCTCCCAGATTACCTAAAACAGAAAAAAAACTCCTATGTATTTCCAATGCTGTCTTTTGATCCATGGCTTTGACATTCATGTGATTTAGGGAGGGGTGGGGGTGGTCAACGAGTTTTTCCAACTGAAAGCTGGATAGCAATATTAGAAACCTTAATATTTCAATAGTCAGTAATGTTTATTCTGTACACAAATCTAGGCCCCGACTTACCTAATATTGACATTGTATTATATTCAGCTACACTTTCTGTTTTCCATACCACTAAGTCCTCAAAGTTTATATACAATTCTAATAGGTTTCGCCTGAAAAATTATGGAAGGGGATTATTTTTTTTGTTTCTTTGTTAGTTGGTTGTATTTGGACTCACATTTCCGTAATAATATATACACAAAGAAAAAAGTTGAGCACCCGCCTCTATGTTTATTAATGACTTGTCTTATGAGGATTAGCGTTAACATCCTGATAATATAACCTCAGAAAAACATATGTGGTTTGCAAGAATACATCTTTGGCCATGAGAAAATATAACGAGTGTATCACATTTAAAAACTTACATGTTTTAACTATCTTATCCAGACTTAATTAATTGATATGTTTTTACTCCTTTTTGAAAGCGCTTTGAGCATGTTTATGGATGGATTTGGCGCTCTAGAAATCGACATTATTATTATTATTATTATGATAATTGGGGTTCTAAAATTCCGTATTTGAGCAAAAGAACGAAACAGAAACACAATTCTACCCTTCTTCGTCTCACCCCTCCAGTAAGCCATATTTGTTGAATGGGCAACAACTGCCATTCTCGACGAAGAGCTGCCTCCATGTGTGCCAGTCTGTGTAGGTGGGTTTAATGCCTGTACTCGACTCCTCAAGATGTTCCAACCATGCCCTAACAGGCTGAGGGCAGAACTCATTACAGGTTACGACAGGGTCATCTCAGCATCATTTTGATTTTCTGGCTGTAATGTTTCCTCTGGCGGGATGATGACCACAAATGAAAGCACATACTCTCTAAAGATAATTTTACGAAAGCCATGAGACAAATGTACCAATTAAAGATTAAATCTGCAGCCAGTCGGTATTATGTCAATGGTGTGTAATAGGCTTATAACTCTTACGTAAGTATATTTCAGCAAGTTGCATGTTATGTTAATAGCAAAATACGTCTGTTTTCGTCAGTGATATTGGCCATTTTGGTGACCATCTTGGATTTGACGATGACGCCATTTGTTTTTAATTCCACGTATAGTTTTAACAGATAGGCTTCACATTTCCTTCAGATTGGCCACTCGAGTTACTGTCACAGGGGTTCCCAACATGATTAAATAGTGAAATATAGTAATGCACACAGGCTAGACTATGTCCTATAGGATAGGGCAAACATAACTATCTTTGTATCGACAGGGACCCATATTTATCCTTACAATATTATAGTTGAGCCCTTGTTCTCGCCCAAAAAATGCAACATGGGATATGATTTTTGCACATTGTGTAGTTTGAGATTATACACCACGAGGAGCGCACACATCAAGATTTGTTGGTGCATTGTCTTCTTGATTTTCAGTTATGCTGCATTAATAACTAATGGCAGAGCTAACTCATTTGAGGGAACTTTTATTATTCATTCATTTTTTGTTGTACAAACCTGGCATAGTCGACAGAATCTATTATCCCATTTCTCACCAAATAACGTGACATGACGTCCGACGGGAAGTAAGCAAAACTGGTTTTAGTATCGTAAATGACAAATCTGCAGGGCCGTGGACACTTTGTAAGGCTTGAATTCTCCGACTGAGTGATGTATGTTGCTGCCCAGATATAAAAAGATCATGTATTTACTAATTGTTGATATTAAACAAAATTCTTAAATAGACCAAACTCCCACAGTACGATATATTATTTTAGTAACATTTATGTACGTATGTACATCACAAACACCACCACATTTGCATGACTGGAAATTTGTTAGAGCAACCAGCAACTACTTTTTATTCGTTGCCCATAAATTTCTGAAACTATTTTTGAAATTATCTAACAGAAGATTAATTGAAGCAACCGTATTTCGTAGTTACTGGCAATGGTAAAACACATTAGTACCCGCAAACATAAAAAAAAGTGTAATACTAAAAATTGATAATTCATTCCGGACCTGTTACTTGTATCATGGACCGTATATAGATGGATGGACAGGCAACGAGTCCCGTTGGTTGGTTTCTCTGCCGCTTGCGCGAGACACGACGAGATCTCATGTCAACGACAAATCAAGCGATGTGATTTTTGACATTGCGGGATTTTATACAGATTAATTTCTCGAACTCCTCCTTAGAATTTACGGTATTCTTATAGTTACATGGTAATTTTCAATGGATAAGTATTCCTATCCGGTAGTGACGAATTTCTCCAGTTTAGAAACTTGAAATTTCCAAATGCAGCAGTTAAGTAATAGTTATTAGCACACTTTCCGAGGTGTATCGGTGAAGATCAGGACAGTTTTGGTCGAGGGGCCCAACCAGTCACTTACATCACATTTCTATCGAGTATTGTGAAGCGAAATGTGAAAAATAGTATTTATTATCGAGTCGTGTGACGCGAAATGTGACAAAGACTTTCTACTCTTTCATTTATCCCTTTCTGTGCCCCACGTTACATTTCGTGGTAGAATGATTTTGCAGTGGAGAAACGACCTGAGTAGTATTTACACCTGCGTCTTGCTGCGTTACCCTGAGCGCAAAACAGTCACATGTTTTTCTTTAGACTGCACTCCGTATTGAAAGACGAAGTTGTTTTGACGAAGTAGTTTTGACGAAGTCAGTGAACATAGAGCCAACCACATCGTCAAAACAACTTGTCCCTGGCGTAAAGGAGTGCAATTATATTAAACGTAACGTAAAGGACACTGCACAACGTGGGTCTATCCTGGTGAAGTGTACATTGGTGGATGGTTTATCCGTTGAAATGTATTTGTAATAAAATTTATGACTTTCTAGGCGTTTGTTTTCATCCTGCTTGTATAAAAGTGTTCGTTTGTCGGAAATGAATAGTACTCTTTATGGAAAGCGTACTGTTCATTTCTGATACACGGATACTTTTATGCCTGTATTGGAAATAAACAGGACAGTTTATCAAAGGTTGCCAGTGGCAACGAGGTAGAAGTGGGATGTAAATATTGTGAAATGATCGATTTCAATATTTTCGTAGTTTTTGTAAGCATGTTTTTTTTTCGGATTCACATGGGCGCATCCGACGTAAAGACGATGTGTTGATACATTTAAACCCCAACCATCAGTTAGTAATCTATGTTTGGATTGCAAAAAAATAGAGTAGCAAGATTAATAAAAATATTATGAATTGATTTCTGTTTCTTTGCTTTTAAACTTTTATGTTAGTCACGATTGTTTGGTTTATTTTTTGCCGCGGCACCGAATTTTAAAGTCTTCGTGAACGTTGCCTGTCCGTCTGTACACGGTCCATGCTTGTATTTATACGCCTATATACCCCTACGCAAATGAAGTGACAACACCTCACTTAAACGAACCGATTTATGAATTTTAACAGATTGACTTTGTGTTATAATACTATAATACTGATTGTTATCTAATATATCCGGCTGGATGTGTATTGTTGTATTTGATTTTATCTGTGGTTTTAAACATTTA